TGTGTTTCCCAGGGAGCAAGCTGCAAGGCTAGGGCAATAGCAAAGGCGGGTGTGCTGAGGAAAAGTCACAGTGAATGCAATGAAAATGTGCCTCTGTCGTGCCATTGGCCTGCTGTGACCTTGGGCGGGTGCCACCCCGTGTTTCCTCGGCATTGTTCCAGCTTGGGGCTAGCTAGCTGAGACCCTCGTTTTCCCCACGGCTGCTGCCCCGGCACTTTTGTTCCCCCTCAGGTTTGCAAAGCCTGCGAAAGGGTTGGAGTTCAGACGGAGGCTTTCTCCCATTTCAGCTCAGGGTTACTGAGTGACTTAGTCTCCGCATGTGACAGCGGGTGAATGAGAATCTCCTGAGGGGCTCTGTCTAGATCTGACCACGGACAGCAAGTGAACAACAAGCCATCTCCTGCTCGCTCTGGGCTGACATGGCAGCCAAGGATGCTGTTAATTTTGCTGTTTACAGAAAGAAGTCCGGTATAAGCGGAGGCATTTTTGGTGTTTAAAGCCAGATGGTATTTCCTGCCTTGATCAGCCTCAGAGCTCTGGTTCCCATGGCAACCCTGAAGTTCCACCTACTGCAACTTCCTCATTCTCCAAGCTTCTTCCTCTTCCACCATAGTGTTGGGGGGCCCAGGAGAATGAAGCCATTAACGACTGTGTTGCCTTGCACTTCACAGCTGACACCACACTCCAGCGTTTATGACCTCACTTCTCACTGCAGCCTTGCCACGGAGCAAGCATCTGCTATCTCTGCTTTGTTCAGGGAAACCCAGGCTCCAAAGATGTTTGACCTCTTCCACTTGCCCTCATTGAAGTCAGTAGGACTCCAACCAGGGCCTTGGGTGGGATGAACAGACCCTAGCAACCCTCCACTGTGCTTACAATTCCTCAGTTCCTAAGCGGCCAATTTTATTTGTAAGTTGGGCTAAAATCAAGGTGTGGCATCTTTACCAAGTTAACTTCTCTGAACCTCGCTTGATCTGCAAAATGGTAATAATAATAATGCCTCTGAAAGGGTGGGGAGATCGCATATGTAAACATGGTATATGGTAACTGGATTTGAAGAAGACCTAAGATTGACCATAATTACCCAGTGGTGGATCATTCTGCTTGTGGAACCTGATTTGTGAAAGTCTGAGAGGTGTCCAACTTGACACTGCAGCATGATACTGTCATCTACAGACATGTTGGGTACACAGCTATGTGATACATGCAGATTGCAGGCTGCAGGTTGGACATGCCTGTAACAGCATACGTGTATATTTTCTATAAGAACAGTGCACAACTTCTTAAGATGCAATGGACATGCGCCTCCCTGACATTCTTGTAAGGATTTCACTTGTGAATGACCTGGGGAGTAGACCCTACTTTATGTAGCAGGACTGTAGCTAAGCACTGTGCAAGTGTTCATTGTACAGAGAGGCATGGCCATATTTGTAGAAAACTCCAGAAGCTTCGGGACTCTAGGAGTGTGGGCAGAAGCTGGTGTGGAATATTCCTCCAGGTATAAGATTGTAAGAAGGGCCCCTGAGGCTGCTGCCTAGGTTCTGCACACCCCGGGACCCCATGGGGCTTTGGCAGCAATTGTGCCTGGCCTTGGGACACTCAGTAGAGGATGGAAGATGTCAACAGGCTATATCTTTCATGGCAAAAACATACTCACTGATAATGACTTGGCCAAATCTTTTGAAACAAAATTTACTTTTTAAAAAGTCATCCTTTCTCGGGAATGCCAAAGGACACATTTAAGCTCATGACAGAAGGGGGGCTGGAGTGGAACTGACAGTCAGCACCTGGTGCCGCTCTTTCTGCCAGTTTTCTTTGCTCTGTATTCTGTATGACTGTGGTTTGCAAACTGAATTATGTGCATTAAGTTAATTGCTATCCAATTAACAAATATTTTCTATTCATTCTTGCAATCAGTCTGGCTGGTACATCCCATAACCAGCTCTTTTGCCTGTCCCCAGCTCTGTGGTGGTCAATGTGGTGATGCCAAGTGGCTGATGAGTAGTTCATGTGGCTTGACCCCCACATGACAGAAAAAAAATTGACCAGGAGCTCCGGTGCCAGGGAGTGCTTTCCTTGTGATGAGTCCTCAGACTGCCAGTTAAGCTCCACACCTGCCTCTTGAGCCAGGATTGTCATTATTCTAGAAGATGACAAGCAAGGCAAGGACTTGGCTTGGCTCCCGGGGCTTCCCTAGTGCCTCTCTGACGATGCTCAGGCCTCAGCAGATGAGCCTGCATCCCAGCTCCCACAATCCCTAAGGACACAGTAAAGTCAGCTTGTCCAATAGCTTCATTCACAGAGCCCCCCACCTCTGGGCCCTTACCACTGGTTCCCTATGCTGCATGATGTAGCCCCCCCTTATTCTATGTGGGTTCTATGAGGCAGACTCTACCAGTGCAGAATGGCTGTTTGGTTTAGCTTTATGTCAACTTGATAAAACTATAGTCACTCGAGAAGAGGTAATCTCAATTGAAAATGCCTCCAGAAGATTGGGTTGTAAGCAGACAAGCCTATATGGCATTTTCTTAGTGACTGATGATGTCATCCCTGGGCCGGTGGTCCTTGGTACTCTAAGAAAGCAGGCTGAATAAGTCTTGAGGAGGAAGCCAGTAAGCAGCACCCCTCCATGGCCTCTGCATCAGCTCCTGCCTCCAGGTTCCTGCTCTGACTTCCTTCAGTGATTGACTACGCCCAGGAAGTGTAAGTTTCTTTGGTCGTGGTGTTTCATCACAACAATAGTGACCCTAATTAAGGCACTGGCCTCCAGCCTTTGAACGGACACTTGCAGACAGGGAAGTGGCACCGGGTGGCAAGAGAGAAACAGAGGGGACTGAAAGGTATGTGAGGGACTATGGAGTCCCCAGGCTGGGTCTCAGCGGCTGAACAATGGCTGAGAATATCCAGAAGGAGTGTTGACCATGCCTGTGACTAGCTCTGAGCCCCACCTTCATCTGCTCTACTGGACGAGCAGCAAGTGAATTAGCTGAGAACTGGAGAAATGAGAGGGTGTGAAGCATGGTGACTCTGCCCCAGGGGGCACTCCCACCTCAGGAAGGGGTCCCACTAGCCAGTTCCGAAGCATTTGCTGTGCAGGGCTTTGGGGACACTGGGTTGGGAGTCTCAGTATACCTAGGCCCCTCTGAAAAGCCGGCTGTGTATAAGGGAGATAATGACGTAGATCTGGTACAGACCCCTCACAGAGGACAGAGCAGTGGACAAGACTGACTTGAAGGTGGGGTGGGAGGCCACTGGACAACAGGACCATGAGCGTCTCTTTCCATCTACTGCTACTAAGGCGGGAAGCAAAACTCAGCACTGTGACCAGAGGTCTAGAACACAGCAGCAGTCACCCTGCTGCTCCCATGGCCTCTAAGGGACCCTCCCTGTCAGCAATCACACTCCCCGCCCACTCCAGCCTTACCACCACCACCACCACCACCACCACCATGCTTCCTACCTCTCTGGATCTGCCACTGCAGAGACTCTGTGGTCTTCCATCCCGTTCCAGTCTCTGGTTTCTCCTGGTCAACACATTAGTTAATTGAGTGGCATTCCTTTCCACAGAAGGACCACATTCATACACTGACACACACCTGGTGTGATGGTGACTGTAGACGTGACAGCATCTACAGTAACCTGGGGAGGGACTGCTTAGATTAGGGTGGCCCTCGGGAAGACCCACAATGAATGTGGGCACCACTGTTCCATAAGCTTGGTCTTGGAGCATGGAAAGGAGAGCTGAGCACACGTCCTGGTTCTACTGACTAGTTGTGACCGCCTCCCTCAAGCTCCGGTCTGGCTTCCAGGACTGCCCTGCCAAGATGGCCTGTAACATGAAACAGTGAGCCAGATGAACCCTTTCCACCTCAATATGCGTTTGTCAGCAGCAACAAAAGGAACCGAGACACTAGGCACCTCCACCTCTCACCTGTTATGATAGTGAGGTCTCGTTTGAACACGAGTTCCAATCCTTTTAGAAATAGGCGGAGGAAGGCAACTTCTGGGTTAGATATACATTGCATTTATACTTCCGGGTTCTGGGCTTGATTCCCAGCCTTGCAAACCTAGAGGCAAACACTCTACCAGTGACTTTCATCCCAGCCTGGCTAGGTGGACACTGTTTAACTTAACTGAAGGCTCTCTCCTGATTCCTAGTTTTTCATGGTTATGGGGTGGGGGTGGGGTATAAGGCCTCAAAAGGGCCTCAGGAGTGATTTTTGAGATTTGGATTTCAGAAAGAAAACTGAAGCTATCATCACTTCCCAAAGCAGGGGGCACTTATCAGTGTCAAGACTAGTATAACTGGAGACTTGGTGTCAGGTTAGCTTGCTAATGGGCACCTATTCCTGTCACCTCCACACGCTACTGACATTGGGAATCATCTGCCAGCCCATCCTCTAGTAGTTGGAATCCCCCTCTTAGCTGAGCTCGCAGGGAACTTCTGTGCCTACCTGGGGGGTGCTCCTTCCCTGAGTGTCCTTTCTCATGGGAGTTGCCCTGTCCACAGGCTCCGCAGTCCCCCACATACCTAGACTCCACCTTCTGTTTGCCTATGCTCCAGGTGGCTGAGGCACCAGGACCAAGGCTGAGTGAGGCACAATTCTTTATAGAAACAAGGAGAACCTCCAAGCTTATTTATAGCATTTTGCACTCCCTCCCCACTGTAAAACTACAAGAAGGAATGACTAAGTGTCATTTGTTTGGTTGCTGGCTGGGTTACTCATTGCTGACAGGCAGCCAGACTTCAGGAAGATGGACTCTGAGGTGAGACCTGCATTCAAACCAGTGTCCCTCGTTAGCTGGGTTTGACCTTCATAAAGCTGGTTACTGTCAGTGTGTCACAGTCACCAAACAGGCAGGAATGAAAGGTTCCAGCTGCCTCAAAAGGGTTACTGTGGAGATGGGGTAAGGCGGTACACAAACACCCTGCAGTACACTCCAGCTGCACAGGCGGGTACCCCAGCAGCAGGCTATGCCCCGAAGAACAGGAGACAGGAGACACATCCCCATTTTTAATATATGCTGCTGGGCAAGCAAAATCTTCCCAAGAATCAAGTCTATGTGGAAATAACGTGAGTCTGGTGTGAAGAAAATGGAAACCAACTGCAGGGCTGAACCAAAATGGAACTGTCATCTCCGACCATTGGCTGCAACCTCTCTAGTGTGGCTTGGAACAAAGTCACAGCCTAGCCCAGCCACCAGGGTATCCCAATGAAGATGGCTGGGGCTGTGTCTACTGGTCTTGTGGGCGGCAGCGGGGTAGGGGGAGGCTTCTGTAGGAAACAGGGCCCTGCTCTAAGGTGGTGGCTCCACTCCAGTGGGCAGGAGTAGCTGGAGACAGTAAAGTGGATTTGGTGCTCTCCTGTACGGCTCTTCACCCACAGCGCCCTCCTGCACCTTCAGCTCACTGTCCATTTGTGCTCTCAGTGCTGCGACCATGGTGTGTCCAAGTCTGTTCCCGCAGAGCAGTGCCCTGAGAGCAGGGGGAGCCTGGCCACTCTTCTGGACGTGACTGGAAAGCAAGTGTGAAACTCCCAAGGGTCTTGGCACTCCTTCCCTGGCAGCCTGCAGAATTGGCACCAGCTTCACTAGGGACAGCACTGGGCTGCCTCACGTGTTGAATAGGACCCACTGGTGACTTGCCACAGTGGATGCTTCACCGCACCTTCTGCAGGGTTTCACCAGTATGTAACATCTTTCCTGGACGGGTCCCAGGCCTTGAAGGCAGCACCTACTTGGATGTAGAGGTTAGGGTTTATATCTGTAGCCATGCGACCTCCATCTTTGCCTGCGCTTTTTCAGGTCTGTCCAAAGCATCAGCAGAGAGGGAGCTTCCCAGGCCCCTGCATGCTGCATCAGCTCTGATGGTTTGGCTTGTCAGCTGTCTTCCTGTCTACTTGCTGTGAGTCACAGTGAAGAAATAACCCAGGGGCAGACCCAATGCAAGGACAACGACTCTGTTCATCCCTCAATGCCTCAGGGCTCCGGTGCCAGCAGAACCATCAAAACTGCAGTTACCTCTTGCAAGACACTGCTTCTTCTGGCCTTACCCATCCGGCCATGGCTTATGTCATTGTTGTAGATGGACAGAAGAAACAGGGAGGAGGGGAAGAAATACATTTAAAAGATGCAACCATCTTCAAGATTCCTACCATCTACACAGCTCCAGGGCAAGGGGGCTGTCTGGCCTCCATCTGATTTTGGCACCTTGGGACAGCTGTTCTCTGGTAACACCAAAAGGAAAATTGAGGCTTGGGAGATGAAGCAGCATTACTCAGTGGACGGTAGCTAAACTAGAGCTGGGTCCACTCTACATGCAGTATCTTTCTAGAGCTTCCACTCACTTCAAAAAGGAGGGAAGTGAGGTGATAAGTGACATGGTGGACATATTCCATGGACATAACCCAGGCAGGGTACCTGCTGCCACTTTCCCCATCCCCCACCCCCGACTGTGCCATGTCCACACCTGCCCTAAGGATCAGCTCCTGGCCTCTGAGGCCACCCAGACGGAACCTGGATCTCACTGATGACCGAGCCCTTGGCTCACCACACACATTATCATACATCCTGCCCTGGCTCCCACTGTCTGGCATGTCAAGGGCCACAGTGTCTTTCTGTGGTCTCAGAAAGAAGTGGGTCTGGTGTGGGGCAGATGATCTGTAAATGCCCCAAGAATGAAAGGATAAGAAAGGAAACTTTGTCCTTACAAATTCTGCTGGCCTTCTTGGAATGGTGTAGGTTGGAAAGAGGTAACCAGAACATTCCAGCAGGATGCTGGACAGCAATGCCTCCCACTTTGCAGTGGACAAAAAGCCTACTGACCAGGGTTCCTGCCAGCTGAGTCAGGGAACTTCCTTAACCTGATGCCCTACTGATAAGCAGGCCACTTCTGCAGGGCTAGGGAGAACACAGGTTATCCCCAAGAACTCCAGCCTCTCAGACTGAGTGTCCCTTGTAGCTTGCGGCTGTCACTGTTCCAGAGGAAGCAGGGCTTTCTTAGTGGTGTTCAAGAGACCCTGGTCTCTCAAGAACACCTTATAAAAGCCACCATGAGAAATGGCACAAGCTCTTTGTTCCCATGAAGCAACCCTGCACAATAAAGAAACTGAGATGCCTCACTGCAAGGACTATATTCCATCTTGGCTTTGACTATTGTTTGCCAAACCTTCCTGATACAGAACCTGACCCAACTTTCACAAACCCTCCTGTCAAAACCTAACATCTCATGGGACTAGTGTTCCAAGGGGGCACATTCTGGGAATTACTGGAAGTCATAGAGCAAGGGACACACTTCTTGTGGAGGTCTAGGAACAACCATGAGCAGAGAAGTGTCCCCAGAAGAGATGGTGATGGCCCAGAAAGGATGCCGGAAGTCTTGCCAATCAACACACTGCCTGGGAGAAAAGGGTTCAGAACCATTCAAGTGTCATCCAGAGCCTGACTCGCATCAATCCTGTGGTCCAGCCCTCAGATGAGCTCCCAGACGCCTGTTCTACAGAAGCCAGCTCTAGCATAGCACCTGTCTCACAGGTGTCCTACCTGAGAGCCATGCCAATCATGTAAGTATGCAAGATGGGGCAGCACACGTGTAGCCTCAGACTCTAATGCTGGGGGTCTGAACCTCAGCCAAGGGTAACCTCTGAGGACACTGGTCATCTGCAACAGCAAGGAGACTGCTGCATCTAACAGCAGTGGTGGACAGGACAGGCAAGGCCTGCACACAGAGGCCACCTGCTCTGACTTACACTTAGCTCTGCTACGTCAGGGTGGAGTAACTGGAGGGCTGCTTTCTGCCTCCTGGCTCTACTTCCTCATGTACAGTGCGACGTTAATCAGTGTGGAGGACAAATGGCCATGCCAAGGAGCATGGGCACATTAACAGGAACTTAGCAAGCATGCCCCCTTAGGGCAGTAGTTCTCAACCCGTGGTCCCAACTCTTTTGCCAAACCTCTGTCTCCTAAAATATTTACATTATGATTCATAACAGTAGCAAAATTACAGTTGTGAAGTAACAACATTATTAATTTTATGGTGGTGGTCACAACATGAGGGTCTATATTAAATGGTCACAGCATTAGGAAGGCTGAGAACCACCCCTTAAAGAATAGTTTACAGGAACCTCATACAGTTTCAGTAAGCAGGGGATAGGAGGGTAAGAGACTCACGGGACCTGCTGAGCCATTAGAAAACACAAGACTCTGACCAGTGTGGTGGCCAGATGGAGGGATAGTCAGGATGGAGGGACAGATAAGAGATGGCCCAGCACAGCTCATAGGAAAGATCTGACTTCCAAGGAATCCGCTGTCTGCTGGGCGCCTCCTGAGGGCTCAAACACCTCTCTTACCCTGGCCAGCTGTGCGGCTGCCCCAACCCCTGGCCCCAAGTCCACAGTACGGAGCTGACTCTTTCTTGCTGTTGCGGAGGCTGAGACTACCTGCTCACAGGTTTTCCTGCCCATCACGATTCTCCAGACAAGCTCCAGCTTCCCTTTAGTGCCAAGCACCCAGCATAAAAATAGAGTGGGTCTGAAAGCCAGGCTCTCCCTTAATAGGATGCAGAAGAGAACACACAGGTCAACTAACTCGAGGGGCACAGCATTAACAAGGTAGAGAAGAAACCCCAAAGTTTCCATTTGACAGACTTCTGAGGTCCAAAACCCTTTCTTTTCTCTTTTGGTTTTTCGAAACAGGACTTCTCTGTATAGCCCTGGCTGTTCCGAAACTTGTTCTGTAGATCAGGCTGGCCTTGAACTCTTGGAGATCTGTTTTCTCTGTCCCCCAAGTGCTGGGATTAAACCCCCAAGTCCCTATCACAACGCAGTACCTCAGTCTCCAGCTGTGTGCCAGTGCAGAGAGCTGTGTCTGACTCTGGACGGCTTCATGGAGCCCAGAGCACCATTTTCCTAGCTCTCTACTCTGCAGGTAGGGAAGGCAAAGGTCACAAAGGAGGAGGGGGCCACACAGTGGGTTGAGAGCCTTTGCAACAGAGGAAAGCACTCTGTATGCTGACACTTGCTGCTTGTGTGCAGAGCTACTGTGGTGACATACAAGAACTGTGTGTATGAAAGGACACCAAGAAAGGCCTCGACTGGATGACCGGGGCCACCAACGAGAGAAGTCGTTCTATAACATATGGCCTCATGTATCCAAGGCTGGCCACTAATTCATTACATAGCCAATGAATACTTCCAACTTCTGATCCTCCTGCCTTACCTCCCTGACTGTTAAGATTACAGGCATGCGTCACTACATTATTTATGTGGAGCTGGGGATTGAACCTGGGCCTTTTTGCATGCTAAACAAGCACTCTAACCAACTAAGCCTCATTCCCACTACAGCTGGAAGTTTTACAGCAAGAGTTAATAGGCAGGGCTTACCAAAACATTCACATCCCTATCTGTGGTTAGTGTTCCTTAAACTACTGCAGGAACTACATTTCCCAGCCTGCTTTGCAACCAGGTAGAGTCAGTCATGTGATGACATTTAGGAAGAAGCTGTGTCTGTCACTTCCATTGTGTCTTTCTGTCTACCAGAAACAAAGACGAAAAGTCCTGGGGATAGTACATCACCAGCAGTAAATAGGGGGGCCCCTGAGTCACTGTGTGAACCCCGCTACCAACCAGGAGCATGCAAATGGAATGTTGAGAGACTCAGTCTCTACACACAGGCATCCTGGACAGTAACACCAGGGCTGTTCTCGTGGAGAGGACAGTGAATGGGCCAAGACATAAAGTGGCAGTTTGGGGCAGCATCATGACCCTGGCTGTGTGAAAGGGTGTTGATGCTCAGGGCATTCACACTGATGGTCACAACAAAGAGGCTCACGTACAGGGACTGTTGCCAGGGGCCCTGGTGTTGCTGGCACTGCTCTCAAAGGAAGAGTGGAAGTTGTGAATGGTTTCCTGTAGAATCTGCCTCTCACGCCCCTGTGGACAGAACAGAAACACACAGGTCCTGTTAGATCTGTGGTTGTGGCTCAGCGCGCACTTGAAAACCCCGAGTGTTCTAGAGGGAAACAACTACCTAATTGCCAGAGTATCAAGTTCAGGAAAACCAGACTGAGCCAGAAGTTCCCAGTGCCCACAATGGCAGCTGCTGAAGGGAGACCCCAGGGTACAGGGGTCTTGTCTTAGCTGAGGTATGTCTGGGGGCCCTACCTGGCTCCTGGGGAGGGCTCCTCATATGCCCAACCTCAGGAATGCAATGGGATCCCTACAATAAAGTCCTTAGTCCCCAAGTTTGATGTGGGGAAAGGCAGAGGTGGCTGTTTCCCCAATCTAGGAGAGGCCCCTGCCCCAATGCTCAGGTGAGAAGCAGCAATAGACACACACGGGTTAAACATGGACTACAATCCAATAGCCCGGTTCTCCCATTTGCCTCTCTACCTCTCTGGGCCTCAGTTTCCTCATCAGTAAGTGGGTCAAGGACAGTAGCTCAGAGATAGGTTGCATCATGAGACTGCATGGCAGCAGGGAGGTCCTGACCAGGGGATATCACTGTCTGTTAGACCGTATGTTCTAAATTATGAATGGACATGGTCAAATGTAAAGCAAGTTACAAGTGCATTATCAGCTGGGCATGGTAGCTCACACCTTTAATCCCAGCACTTTCGAGACAGAGGCAGGAGGATCTCTGTAAGTCAAGGGCAACCTGGTCTACAGAGCAAGTTCCAGTATAGCCAGGGTTACATAGTAAGTCCCTGTCTAAAAAGGGGGAGGGGCATTATCTTCAACAGATTGTTCTCTGTGAAAGTGCCCATAGATAAGGCCAGATTTCAAAGATTCTTTGCCTTCATTTCATGAACTCCCACCATCCACAAGTGTCCTTTTCCCGATCCTAGGGTGGGGACCTCCTGTGCTGACAGGATAATAAGAACTGCCCTTTATGTCAACCTCACAGATGACCTTAAAAACCGTTAGTATTAACAGGGGTGTATGGGAACCAAGCTGAGGGCTGCAGAGTATGGGCCAAGCACCAGATGTGAGCAAAGGAACCAGAAGCAAGGCTACCCGTGACAAGTGGTGGCATCCAGAGCAGGCCTCGTTCCCCTGAGCAGTATCTGTAAAATGGGATAATGCAACCTGCCAAGGTGGCAGGGGACATGTGATTTTATTTTAAGCATCGTTTTAGCCTCAACTCCTTAAGCAATAGGTCAGGGACATCCAGGCCCAGAGTTCTGTCTCCTCACCTCAAGAAAACACCAGACAGCCAAACCATCATCACAGGATGGCAGTGACACACATTCCCAGAAAGAAAGCAAATGACTGGTACATGTAGGTAATGGCTCTGATTCCTCTAGTAGCTCAAGAAATGCAAATTAAAACCAAGTGCAAGTTTGGGCCTCCAAACACATGATGACTAGATACCAAACCAAAGGGACCATCGAGACGGTTCAGTGTGTTAACACACTTTCCCCTAAGACCAAGTTCAATCCACAGGACCCACAAGGTGGAAGCTGAAATTGATTCCTACAAGTTGTCTGTGACCTCCACATGTACTCTGTAACATTAATAGACACAGAAGCATGCACACACACACACATACACACACACACACACACACACACACACACACACCTTTAAAAAAAAAAAAAGCAAACCAGTAGTGCTCAATGCTGACATGGCTTCCAAGGAACTGGAACTTATAACCACAGCTAGTAGGGTGTCCATGGTCCTTTCTGGAAAGAAATTCTGGATGACATGCATGTACTGTGCGTCTGGCTCTTAGAGTTGTAGATATTTATCTTGAGGACACTGGGAAGCCTTCATACAGAGAGACCTATCTGCTGCATCCACAAGTGGGCAGCCATATAAACAAGCATGGATTTTAAAAAACAATTTTAGTAAATCTATGTATATTTATATCAGTAAGAATTCTGCAGAACATAGGGATGTATTTTCCTATCATCCTAGCACTCAGCAGGCTGAGGTTGGAGGACCCTAAGTTCAAGGCAAACTTGGATTTTATAGCAAGGCTCCATCTTAAAAAACAAAAAACAAAATTCCCAAGAGCATTCTCAGCATCCTGGGTAACTGTGGTGGGTATCCTTTTGACTGAGCTGGGTGTCAAAAGAAAAGCCTGATTGTCAAAATAAGTTCACACTCAGCCTCAGTGTGGAGCTGGGCCCTCCAAATAGAGACAGGCAGGGCCTGGCCTGAGCAGCCAGGTCCAGCACTGCAGGCCGGGATCTGAGAATTGCATCCGGCTCCAGGAGTCATGCTCCAGCTGCTATGTCTTGCTCAGAACAAGGGCGAGAACGGGGAGTGCAGTAAAGACCACATTTTCATGTTAAATTTCTCCCATTATGCCTTCTTCTAGGACACTGTGGCACTGCCCCTTCCCAGTGGACTGTGCCTGTGCCATTTATCCCTGGGGCAACAGGGTCTTCCTCAGGCAGTGACTCGGGTGGGCTGCTGCCTTCCTCAGAACAGAACACAGGGCCTGTGCTAACCAGGGAGCAGGAAGCTGTCAACATTGGAGAAAACAGAAGGTTCCGTTCTGCAGTTTTGAGAAAGGCCTGTGGGGTGCTGGTTGCTATCCCATCATCAACTGTTGAGACAGTCACCTTTCTTGAGGTCGGCACACCTTTCTATTTGTCTCCCTAAGCCAAGGAGCCCATGGCTACACAGGGTAGGGGAGACCACAGGGGCATTAGCCACCTGCCATCTCAATGCCACCTCCTCAAGTGCACATTCCCTGCCTGTCCTCCCCATCCATGTTCAGAACCTTCTCTGGTTCTCTCCCTGAACTTGTCACTGACTTTCCTGTTATCCTCTTTGGCTAGGAGGAAGGTAGAAACCCCAACCTCTGCCAACACTTTGCCCCTTTTCAAGATCCTGCTCTCCTTCACGTGGGTCACCCCATCACCCCAGCCTCTGCCTATGTCCTCTGCCCCCCGCCATGAGTGTTCCCTACACATATGTTCCCCTTGGCCTAGTCCATTTCTGCCTTCAACCGCCTTATCCAGTGCCTCCCATCAGGTCTGCTCCCCATTTCCACTTCCCCAGGAAGGTCTCTCCAGACCCTGCCTGCCCAGATCACACTCTACATAAAGGACAGGGCATCTCGTGCCCACCCTCCTCCGTGTGCGCCTGTTCTTTAGTGACACTGCTGAGACATGGTCACACCAAGTTCAAGCCAGTCTCTGCCTCTTACTGTATGACCCTGCACACATTCCTCCTGCAGTGTGTGTGTGTGAGTGTATGTGAGTGTGTGTATGTGACTGTGTGTGCATGAGACGAGTTTCTCAGCATAGTGCTGGTCTTAGTGGCACATGTTGTCATGGTACCCAGGACAACACATTTTTTTACTATGAGCAAGTCAGTGCTTCAAAGCCTTCAATGAGGGTTTGGCTACCATTAGGGACTAGCCAAGGGCTTCTGTTCCCTAGCTGACACCCTTCCTAACCATGGACACATGCCTCCAGCCTGCCTCTACCTCCTCAGTCTCCACATTTGAGAGGGTAACAGGAGTCTCGCTGGTGTCGAGGAAATCAGGGTCTGCTGCCTGCCTCTGAGCTGGACTCTATCACCTACCCATTGCCCAAGTGGGACACTTTCAGGGACACCAACAGGAAAGACGCGGACAATGCCAGCCATGCAGTGCCTGCGTGGTGCTCACTTATAAAGGGTCACCTGACACAAGCAACAACAGGCATTGGCCCAGGCCTAGTTATACAGCAGAGAGGAAGAGGGGGAGGCTAGAAGTCTTGAGTTCAGATCCTGCCTCAGATGCCCAGCACAGAGGCCACATGTAGTCCAGTCTGGGAGTCTCTACTCCCTTGCCAGACAGCTGTGCAGACTCTGGCCTCTATGAGGGCTGACTAGGTCGTGTTTGCTGATGGCTTGCAGATGATAAAGGTGGCATGAACATTTCTTTGCTGTGGGCACTGCTCATCCACTCACTGCTGTAGAGCACACTCCCCAGGGCAGAGAAGGAACTAGAAGTCTGGCCACGCTCCTGCCTCACCTCACAGTGCAGCACAGCCTGGGAAAAGCCAAACCATCAAGAAAAAGGCAGAGTCCACATTACCCTGACATACTGCTACTTCTCCACAAGTCGGAGGCCGTGAAGCAAGGAGCAAGAGAAACAGCAGATAAGCAAGCATCGTAGCTGCTGAGCCAGCACTTGATGAGAAAGAGGCAGAGGGTGGAGGCAACAGCCCGACAGCAGGCAGGGTTAGTCTCCACACGGTGTGTGCCTGGAGTGTGCACTGCTGACATTCACTTGTGAAGTGATGAGACGGGACATTAGGCATTAACGTGGGACATAGTACCGATAGTATGTGACAGCCTTGGGTGCCAGGGGCTCTGCTAGGAACCTTAGCTCATGCAACAGCCCTAGTTCCCATGCTATGGACAGGACAGGGCAGAGAGGCCCAGAGAAGCAATGCCTTGCCCTGAGATTCCACCCACAAGTAGTCTGATCCCAGGGTTCTCATCCCACAGTGCTGTCAAAGGCAATACCCACCCCTTGAGATTGAAACCACCCAAGGAAGTCTGTATGTAAGCTGGAGGGGCTGCAAAGGGAAAAGGGTGCATGGGGAGGCAGTTTCTCAGTCATGAGGAGTGTGCAAGCAGGCCACCTCTGTCACCTGCCAGAGGAGACCCAGAGGGGCCATCATGAAGATCTTGGTGGTCTTCAGCGTTTGAACAAGGTGAGGACGAAGCTAAAACACAGTACCTTGCCTGCATTCAGCTCAGAGATGGCGGCCAGAATCTGCTGCCGAGAGCCATCCGTCTTAATACCCAGCTCCTGCAGGTCGCCGTCGGTAAGTGTGAGGAAGGCTTCCATGTCCACCTGGGAAGAGAAGGGTCTGCCATTGTCTGTGGGACACTCTCCCCCACTACACGTGTGTCACAGGAGGGACCGTTATGAGAACCTGTTATGATGCACTCCTTCTAAGTCTGGCCTGATACTTAAAGATGGCTCACTGTTCACAGCCCTAGCCCTCGGCTTTCCAACAGAGGCATTGTGGGAAGATTGAGAACGAACAGAGGGACATCTTGGGGACAGGGATCTGAAGGACTCAATGTCCTGCCACTAGGAAGGGAATCCCCGCGTGACTGCGCATGGCAGTACTGGACCCTGCACAGCAAACAGGCTGCATGGGAATACTCACCGCATTCCCTCCCACAGGACAAGAGGCGTGCACACTGGGGAAAGGCAGAGTGAGGGATAAGCAGGGGCAGAGAGGAGAGAAAGGCCACAGGGAACTAAGGCAGAGGCACCAGCAGAGGTATGTGCAACTGTGCTCTTCTGTGCAGGTGACATGCTGCCAGCCCTCCCTGCCAGCCTGCCTGGGTGTTAAGAAATGGTCCTGCTCTAGGAGAAATACTGATAGGCCTCTGCCCCAGGAGAGACGTACAAAGTGAGCCTGGTAAAGACATCCCACCACCCCGCATGCGGGACAGCAGCAGTCGGGAACCCAGGTCCCACACCCAACAAACCCAGTCCTGTGCGCCCCATCCTGCCCACAGGGTGTGGGTGTGACGGTTGGAGCTCCGGGAGATGCACAACTTTGGGGATGAGGGTTACACACCTCATGACACAGAAGCGAGGTACACTCTGAGACATTCTATGGCTACGTCAATGAAGAGCAGGCAGCAGCCAAGGGTTGGGAAGCAGTTCTTGGAAAAGAGGAAAGCTCTGTGGAAGTTTCAAAGGTCAAGGAGACAGACAGGACGTGACAGGAAGAAAATGGAGGAAGAGGGCGGCACACACATCTGTCTCTAGAGCTTTTGTCGAATCGCAAGCTTGGTGGGGATCATGAGTGACAGCACTCAAGACACTTGTCACGTGCCAAGCTGTCAGCAGACTCCTAAACCAGTGATCACAGCCCAGGGCTGGCGGCCTCAGGGCTTTTATTGGGCTAATACAGTGAATTGTATTAAAATTGTATTGATGTACAACCCACCTACTCTACAATTCACCAAATACAGCTGTGTTTAAAGTATGTATCTGAATGAGCACACTTGATGTCAGGGCATCCCTTCTGGAGAAAGGCTCTCTAGTATCCCAGGCTGACCTTGAACGTTGTGCATGCCTCCACTTCCTGGGTGCTGGGGTTGTCTGCACAACCACACCTGGTAGGTGCAGTGCTGGGAATTGAAGGCAGGACTTCAGGCATGCTAGGTAAACAGTCTACACCTGAACTGCATCCCAGCTGTGGGTCATTTTCATCCCCTATGAGGAAAGCCTATGCCCAATGGCAGTCACTCTGAATTCAGCCTCAGCGTCTCTAGCACCCCTAGCTCACAGGCTCTGTCTCTCTCAACCCTACCCCCAGTCCTCTGTTTTCCAGGATGACTAGGGACTTGTAGTAACCCTCCTGCCTCAGTGATGTGAGCACTGGGATGGCAGGAACGAGCCACCATGCCCAGTTGAAATGTGGTTTTTGAGTGCTTGTAGGTGACCCTGACACTGTTCCTAGACACTTTTCAAACTCAAATTCACACAGAGCTTGTGTGAAGCCCATATAACAAAACTGCTTTCAATACAGAGAAGTGCTCAGTACAGACTTCCATCACAGAGGAGAACTCAGACCCTGTGCCACTCAGGTCCCATGCCATTGAGAAGGACTTAGACTCAATGGGCCCAAGTAGATACATATAAAGCCTTTGTTTTAATGGTCTTAGCTTAGCTGACACCCAGGAACTTACCTCTTGCTCCTCGAAGATGGGCTGGTACTTCTCAAGTGACAACTTCTTGAGGATTCCAGTCAGCTCATCTTTATGAGAAAGAGATGAGGATTAAACACACACACACACACCACCACCAACAACAACAACAACAACAACAACAAACCACAGCATTTTGGAATTGGGTAACACACAGCAGGAGTGGGTCTCACACTTCTCTACGATATTAGTAAGATCCCCCTAGCACAGTCCTAGCATAGACAGATACCACCTTGGCTGTATCCCTGGTCACTGAGGGTAGGTGTACTCAGCCACACTGTCCCTCACAGCAGGCTCTCAGCATTCTAGAAAGCCAAGATCAGTCTGTGAAGACCAGAATGGCCTCTGTTGATAGTCTCAGAGCTACAAGAAGCAGACTTGGGTAGTTCCAGTTACTGGGAACAAACCCTACCTGTGCAAGAGCACACACTCAATGCCATGGCTAAGGCCAGAAGTCAGCTGGTCTGAGAATGGCACCAGAGCAGTCAGGCACTGCAGACAGATGGGAGGAGGGGCACTCACATGCATGGAGCCCATGGGCCCCACAATGCACTGGTAGCAAAGCCAGAAGGACTTAGATTTGGGAACAAAGGTGGACATCAGACCAGGTGGGACAAGGGGAGGACACAGAGCAGTGTCTGGGACTAGAAGAAATGCAAGGGCATGCTCAAGAAGGCCTTGTTAGACTAGACACCTGATGAAGAACACATAGGCTGACAGCCAAGGCAGGAAGGAAGGAGAGAGCAGGGTGGATGGATGACATGGAACAAGATGTTGTTTGACAGAGGGTGGCCAAGGCAGGTATTCCTTGAGACATTTGACAATAAATAAAGTACAAGCTATGCAGATATCTGAGGACAGAGCATTAGGCAGCATCCAGGGTATGTGAACAGCACGTGCAAAGGTCCTGAGGTACTAAATAAGTTCAAAGGAGATGGTAGAAAGCAGGCTCCTTCTTCATTCACTTAGCAGTGACTATCAGTGTGGCTACGGCATGCTGAGAATCATGTGTGGGGCAGTCTGTGACCTGGACCCTGGGTTTTGCTTGGCCCCACTGAGAGCAGGACTCCTTCAGCTGGCTGGCAAAGTCAGCACAAATACGAAAGAAGCTTGAAGCTGCTTGGTAGCACCAAGGTCTGCCGAGATGACGAGAAAGCATCCCCAAAGCCCCTGGGTCCACACTCACCTGAAGCTTGCTCCAAATATCTCCATCATATGAGTCGATTAATGTGTTTTCCTTAAGGTTGTTTGAATAGAGCCCACGCCATCACTAGGAAGTGTAGATGCTAATGTAAATTCTGACTTGTGCAACTCATGGGGAGACGGAGCAATTGGGTTCGGAAGGGCCTTCTACAGGCATCTATGCATATCAGCAAAACAGCCTATGCTCAAATCCCACTTCATTGCACTTACCACCAGGGAGGGGAAGAGATGTGAGACCTTGGCTGCTACCACATGGTCCTGTGCTGCCAGGTCACCATGGTGGAGGAACAGGTATGGATTGGGACCTCTGGAGACTCACCCTCATCTGTGATGGTGCCACTGCTGGAGCCCCCACTGCTCTTAGACTGTCGATGGGATGATGAGGAAGACACTGAGGATTCTGCAGCATGGCCTTTGGGAGAGGGGGAGGGCGTGAGGGTAGGGGATGTGCTTTTAGAGGTAGCAGAAGTTCCAGATGGAGGCCGTTTGCTGGGGTCCAGTTTCTGTACAGGGCATAAACAAAAATTGAAGCCATCACCTAGTGGGTGGAGAGGATGAGAATGGATGCTGTATCTTGGAACACAGTGGTACCTACTCAACAGCACATCTAGCTGGGACTGGGATGCCTGTAACTGAGACTCAGAGATGCAGACTGGCATGAGGGTCAGGAAGGCTGAACTTGGGTGCCACTCTGTTGCTACCAGAAGGGGTGGGGTTTGTACCTAAACAACACTGAGCCTTCCATCTCCTCACAGAGTTAGCTTCTGAGATTTACCAGTGTTCCATAGTTTTCAACCTACAGATTCAACACATTTTACTAAATTTAAACACATTTCATTTTCATATAAACTTATGCAAATGATATTTATAAAATGTCAAATTAAAAATTCTAATTGTTGGGGTTAGAGAGATGGCTCAGTGGTTAAGAGCACTTGTTGCTCTTGCAGAGGACCCAGGTTCAGTTCCCAGCACCCACATGGCAGCTCAGACCTATTGGTAACACCAATTCTGGGGTGCACAACATCCTCTTCTGACTTCTGTGGGGACCTGTGAACACACATGGTACAGATACACAAATGCACACAAAAAGCTCATACCCACAATATAAAGCCAAACTTTAAAAAATATTCTACTTGTTTACTATTAGTATTAAAAAATGCAACTGACCTCATATATTGGCCTTGTGTTCTCTGAGCTGCAGCCCAGCCCCTGGACTCCTACTCTGAGCTTGCCAAACTGGTTTATTAGCCCTGAGCATCTGCACAGAGTCCTTATAGTTTTCTAACCGACAGGTATACCAAAGGCAGAAGGAGTTTGGTTTCTTCCTTTCCACTCTATCACCTTTTAAACTTCCCTCACAGCACAGGTTGTAAGCGGTAAGCACCCACAGTATGATAGCATCCTAGCTCCCCATCAGGGAGAGCTTGGTCTTTACTGGCAACTGTGATGCCACTATACTCATTTTACACCAGGATGCAGGAAATCCCTTTGATAGCTGCTTTGTGTTTTAGCTTCTCTACACCACATGCATGCTAGAGCTAGAAGAGGACATGATCTCCTTGGACTGGAGTTGCAGATGGCTGAGTCACCTTGTGGTGCTGAGACTCAAATCTGGGACCTCTGAAAGAGCAGCCATCTCTCCAGCCCTGGATTCTGAGTGCTGTTAAATGCTTTTCTGCATCCTTTCTTCCTTCTGTTATCTGCTGTGTCACAGTCACGGACTTTCTAATGCTGAACCCAACTTGCATAACGAACCCCAATTAGCTGGAAGGGTTTCCTTTTGTCCACCACTGGACTTGGCTGTGTGGAAGATTTCAGAATTTATGAGGACTACTGATGCTACATTTTTCCTTACAGTGTTACCCATATTCACCTTGTCCCAATCTCAGGGGACAGAGAGACACTACATCATAATAGAGGGGTTATTAAGACACAATAATCACCAAGCATGGTGGTGCCCATCTTTAATCTCAGCACTGGGAGGCAGAGGCAGGAGGAACTCTGAGTTTGGGGCCAGCCTGGTCCACAAAGTGAGTTCCTGCCTCAAAACAAAAATAAAACAAAACCAAAAAATAAAACAGTCCCAAATGTGTGTAGAACTTTAAAGTAAGTGAGGCAGAAAATGACAGACCTGAAAAGAGAAATAACTCACCCCTTGCTATACAATTACAGATGTTACCACTCCTCTGGGAACTGATGGAGCTGGGGAATCAAGATATAGAGCACATGGACCACACTACCAGCCAGCAGCACCAGTGACCCTGGGAAGAGTCGCCCTTCCCAGCAGCAAGAGAACACACATTTTTCTTAAGTGGCTATTGGGACTCTCACCAAAACTGATCACACTCCAGGGCATGAAACAGACCTTGACACACTTACAGCAGGGGACAGAACTACAGTGGAGACAAGCTATGCATCGGTAATAGGAGATTCCTAGAAAACCCTCAAATGACAGAAAAACAAAACAAAACCCCCAAACCTTCTAATGCTGGGACAGGAATGAAGTCCAGATTCAGTTGTGACTGGTCACCAATGCCCCAAGCACGAACCTTAGCTTTATGGTGGAGGGGGCAGCTGACACCTCCTACAGAGACACAGAGGTGGCCTCCCTGTCCCCACTCACCCTTTCAGCCTTCCCAGTGAATCAGGTTTCCATGATCAGTGAATATGCCAGAAACCAGCCCCACACATAGCTCACCATAGCAGTGAGCGTCCTGCTTTAAAACAAAGGACAAAATCCAGATCCAGAGCCTCCAGTTTTGAAGACTTATTTCTATTCTTCCTAAGGGAGCCGTTGAAAAGCACATCCTCACTTCACTTACCACTAGAGCCCGCAACAGAGAGACCATTTCTGTGTCCTTTTACTGGGGCAGTGGTTTCTAAGAGCCCTGGCGGGAACATACTGTCAGGACACAGAAACAGATTTCCCAGACCCCACCCTGAGAGTCAAGGGCAGTAGGGTAGGGTGGGGAGTCTACTACACCATGCGTCAGGGCCTTGGAACTGGATCCTTCTGATGACTGTCCTGGAGTGCAATTCTTGACAGCTAATTTCTTTTCATCAGAGTATATGTATGTTGTATGTTGTTATAGTTGACAGATATGGCCAAGTGAGATAATAGTTAATAACTTACAGGCCTATTTCGAACACCAATGACAGAAAGCTAAATGATATTTAACATGGTTAATAAACCATCAGAATAGAAGAGAATGTTTTAGACAACAAAGGAGAAAACTATTTCAAAAGCCCTCAGCTAGTAGACTTATTTTAATGAGTAGCTGTGAGTAACCAAGTAGAAAATGTGAAAAGACAAATACACTAATTATATAACTTTTTGTATCTGATAAAGAAAATGCATCAAAATATCAGGAGGAACTTTTTTTTTTGTCTACAGCTGAACTCTAAAATAAGCTTAATTATACTGTCCTTTGCATAGATAATTCTGAACATAACAGAAATAAGTTCTTAACTAAATTATAAAAGGAATTTGAATTTAAGGTTTTGCTGTGGAAGAGCTGGGATAACAGAAAGTTGTGGAGCCAGTAACAGCTGGGCAGAAACATTCTATTTCCTACACTTCTGCTAAGAGGCAAACCTAAGAGCTGGCAGTGTAGCTCAGTGAGCCGAGGTTCTGTCAAGCAGCCTGCCCTAGCCCTGTTAGCCCTCTGCTCTCAACAGAGAACAGTGTGTGCAAGGGGGGGACTCAATGGACACATGCAAGTGGGTCCCTTTCAGCATCCCCCACAACCCCCCCCCCGCCCCACTGATAAAGAGGAGGGTGAACACGGGCCTGCAGGGGGCAGATGCAGACCTCTGCAGGAAGCTCAGGAGTGGCTACAACTGTGTTGCTCCCCCAATGCCACACCCTGGTTCCACATATGAGTCATGGGAGAACAATCTACAGGCACCCAGAGAACAAGTACCTTGTTGCTGGAAGAGTCACCTCCACTGCCCACGAGGGAGGCTGGACGCTCAGTGGGGCTGGAGCCGGGCGCTGGCCCCACAGGACTGGAGCCCTGGCTGGAGCGCTGGCTGGGCTTCTGCTCAGACAATCCAGCTGCTTTTTTCCTCTGAGCAGCGATCTGGGACAAGACACTGTCTACACTGCCACCTAAGGAGACAGAGACAGGAGTGAGCACTGTGGCAAGAGTCCTGTCTCAAGAATTCCACACGAGGGGTCAAGGGGCTGAGGGGGCTAAGTGTTACGGTGAGGGGGGGGTAAGGGCCAGCTTGCCTTTCCTTCTCCCAGGGCCAGCATGTATGAATCCCTAACCCCATAGAACTCCAAGGGCCCTGCTTCTAATGCATTCTAATTGTTATGTTCTCTCTCAGCTTCTCTGAATGTACCATAGCCTGGAGAGGAGCTGGGACAGACACACGGACACACGTGCACGTGGACACTTCCTTCCTGGGGCTGTTCCCAGGAAGCCACTGGCAACAGTGTTCATGGAGTAATAATGTTGGTTATTCCCTGCCAGGTGGAGCTGGAAGACAGAGTGTACTGACTAGCTGGGTCTAGTGGCATGGGCCTGGAACCTAAGCTACTGGGGAGGCTTGAGGCAGGGGACTGCAATTCAAGGCCTGCCTGAGCAACTTAGTGATGGCCAACCCATAGTAAAAAGTGAAGGCAGAGTAAGGGATGTAAAAAATGGTAGAGAGCGAACTACACTAACCTTTTAAAAAGGCAAACTGATGACTCTGCCATGGAGCTTAGGCTACAGAGATCACTGAACAGGCCTCAAAGGATCACCTGGGAGCCAGCAAGATGACTCACTGGTTAGAGGCACCTGGCAAGCCTACACACCTGAGGGAAATCCCCAGGACCCACACACAGGGTGGAAGGAGGGAACCGATTCCTATAAACTGTCCTCTGGCTTCCACTCTCATGTTGTGGCACCCCCCCCCCACACACACACATACATACCCCACACCCCTCACACACACACACACACACACATACCCCACACCCTCACACACACACACACACACACATACCCCACACCCCTCACACACACACCCACACACACATACCCCACACCCCTCACACACACACACACACACACACACAGCCCACTCCCCCCACATACCCACACCCCCATACACACCCCCACACACACCACACCCCCACACCCACACCCCACCACACATACATACCCCACCCCCAACACACACACACCCACACACACATACACCCCACACCCCTCACACACACACACAGCCCACGCCCCCCACACCAACCCCCACACCCCTACCCCCATACCCCCATACACACCCCACCCCCAATACACACACCCCACACACACACATACACCCCGCACCCCCACACCCCCCCACACACAAAGTCACATCACAAAATATGTTTTTCTGATTTCAGGGGGCATTGTCTGCGTGAGCAATAACATAGGACAGAGCTCGCTAGGAAGTGGCCACACCAAGCAATCTCCATGCATGGTGGACAGGACAGAAGAGTAGCAGCAGACATGTGCATGGCCACCCAAACACTGGTGGCAGGGCAGACACCCCCACTCCCACCCCCCACCCTCAGGGTTCTGCAGCAGCCACCTGGGTTCAGAGGTCACAGGAATATGACCTGAGCTGAGTCACTGAGGCCCGGCTCCTTCGCTTGTAGCATGCAGAAGACAACATAAAGGAATTGTTCAGGGACCATTTAAATGGCTCAGCATCGTGCCTGGCACAGTGTTCAACAAATCATTCTGACTATAAATATCCATAATGTGCACAAAATAAAACCCTGCAAAGTTACAGCAAAATGCTGGTGATGAGTGAGCCCCTGTGGGTGAGCTTGTGCTCCCTACCTTTCCCCCACTTTTGTCTTTTGGCTCATCTGGACTTCGAGTTTTTTTTTTTTTTTTCTGCCAGATGTGTGCATGCCTTATGCAGTGGCATGCCACAGGTGTGTCCCTGTGGAAGATCTGGCTTTGGCGAGCCCTCAGGATCTTCGGGAGGACTTGGAAGCATGCTGTGGCGTAGAACTGCGGGGTCCCTGTCTTGACATTTCCTTGCTTCCAGAGTGCCGGGTAAGTCTGGACATGTCTCTTCCCCACTCAGAGCTTTGGTACCCTTGCCCATTCAATGGATGGCAGAACAGAAGTTCCCCCGGGCTTAGCCTTCAAGAAATTTGTGCGCCATGAAAACCCTTGGCGTTCTTCTCCATTTTGTATAACATTTTACAAGAAATAACAAAAACATTATGGACCTCACTTCTCCTTCTCATTTGGCTCCATCTTGGGAAAATGGAGTGAAAACAACCCTGGAGTGTTTCTTCACTGAGAATTCTCTAGCCACACCAAGGAGTAGGCTGGTGTGAAACCACTTCTGGTACTGAGTGTAGATGGAGCTCAGGGCCAGTTGATACCCTGGCCCGGGACCATCCCATCTTCTTGAGGAGCCTGTGGCTACTCACCTGAGCGGTTATGCAGCTCCCCACCCAGCCTGCTCATGCCCCCAACGCCACTGGCACCTCCTGAGGAATGAGGTGAGTGGTTGAAGCTCCCAGAGCTGGCAGGGGAGGCTGGGCTTCGTGAGATGCTGGGGAATTTCACTGGCCTGCCAGCAGTCTGCAAATGCAAGGTGGAATCACTTAGGACTGCGTCTTCCTTCCTGCCCACACACAGCACAGCAGCACAGGCTGCCCAACGGGGTCCCTCCCCCAAGGGAAAGAGCTTGCTTCCACCTGCTAACAACCCATTAACTCAGGATGAGCACAGCAGGCCACAGAGGATCAACAGTGGGTATAAGCATACCCTAACCATCCACTGTTGATCAATGGCCTCCTGGCCACTCAGACCTGCAATTCTTTCCATGGCCTGCCCTCAGTCCTGGCCTGGGCATGCGGGAATCAGTCAGAAGGAACAAAGGCTTCAGTGGTCTGGATGGTGACCCCCCAGAAGGCAGGCAATTGTCCTCTTCTCTAGAACCCATGAATATTAACTGTCAGGTGCCACCACCTCAGAGGTACCATCAAAGGCAGGCCAACAGGGACATGAGGCTGGAGAGGGGGGCTCCAAGATTAGGAGTACCGGCTGCTCTTTCAGGGAACCCACACGTTTGGTTCCTAGCACCCACATGGCGGCTCACAAACAGTCTAGCTCTCTTCTGGCCTCTGCAAACACTACACATGCAGGTAAAACACTCATTCATAAACATAAAATAGAACTAAAAGAAATCAGAATAGAGCAGAACAGAACAGGTCACCTAGATGCTCCCCAAGTATACTCTCAGGCCTCCTTGTGATACAGGGAATTCTGACAGAAGCCGCCGGCAGGGGCAGAGACTGAAGAGATACAACCACAAGCCGGAAGAGTCCATGGAAGTGTCATGTCACTGAGGCACCCCCCACCCCACCCCTTACACCATGGGCCTCAGCAGGGCACAGCTATACCCACACATGCACATGCTACACTGGAAGAAAGCATGCAGCCTAGGGTAACAAGGGCAGTGAGGCATCACATTTACCCCTCCCCCTGCTGTGTGCTGTGTGCTCCTGGAGGCCTCCCTGGCTGCCCACCCAGCTCCCAGAACACATGCTCGTGTTTCACGGAGAAAGAGGTCAATGAATACTGAGGGGATGAAGCATCAGTGCTTACATCCAGGCCCCTGGAGTTAGTGATATTTTCCAGAAAAGGAAGCCATGGGAAGAGATCGTAGGGGATGTTCTGATTGACAGTTGTACCCCACTCCTCACACCCAACATACCAGCATCCCTGTCTCCACTAGGACCTCAGACTGCCCCGCCCTGGGACAGTCTTGTCACGCAGACACACTGGAAGTCCCAGGTGTGTATAGTCATTCAGTCACCAAAGCATCGGGCCTATCCTAAGTCCTCACCTACAATTTACCCACTTAGTGTAACCACAGTGTAGACAGTCCACACACCCAAAGACTACCTGGCCCCATGGTGGGCAGCTCACAAACAGACCAAGGGTTCCAGTTACAGACAACTGTGGCCAAAGGGGCAGAAGTCTCCTCCCACAAAATCACCAGGAGTGCACACAGTGTCCCCTAGCATGTGCTCTTGGTCACAGCCTGAGCTACATTAGAGTCCATTAGAAGCCACGAACTGATTTTTGACCCGCCCCCACCAGGCCAGTGATAGTCACTTCCATGGCTGGGGCCTGTGTTCCTCACCAGGCAAGCTGGAGTGGATCCTCAAACTGTGCTGACAAGGGAGGAGCCAGGGTCCCAGAGAGGATAGAAGTTCCCTTCCTGTCCTCCTCACCACCACCCCCACCCCCATCCCCACCCCCACCCCCCCCACCCCCGCCTCCCCACAACACTTTAACTTTCCACATGCTCAGCTCTTTGGTGGGATTTACTTAGACTAAGGGACATGGCTCACTTCAAAGAACAAAGCAGCTATGATATGACCTAGTGCCTGAGGTCCCTCTGCTGCCTCACATCCGGATCTCTGTGAACAGTGTCACAGCCAGCAATGAGACGACTTACGGTGTCAGTGCTCACACAGCCCACAGGGTGGGCCCTGCTTGCTCTTGGGGGCAGCACAGTCTTTGCGGGGTCTGCTTTCCTATTGTGACAGGTGCGAGACCTGTCAGAGCTCCACAGCTCAAAGCTGGACGGGGGCAGGAAGGGTGGGATGACGGCCTTCAGCTTGTCACTGGGGAGCCTCTGGAAGGGAGCTCCATTCCGTAGCTGAAACAGACAAGCGGGATTAGATGGGCCCAGGGAGCTTCCACACAGTTTTCGAGTATGTAGATGACGGCGTTGCTACTCACTTCTCCACAGGAAACAGGAGCCCAGATAGCTCTACAGGCTCTCCTCACAGTAACCCAGTGCACTGTGGCAAGGTGAGGGCATGGGCAGGGGACAGAGAACCAGAGAGATGAAGAGATGCTAGAGTAGGGGTCTGGGGGACCACTCTGCAGTGGCAGAGAACTGAGCCCAATGGACAGGGCAGGGAAGCTGGGGCAAAGAACGTTCTAGACACAAGATGGGAAGGATGTAGGCAAGACTACAGCCCAGGGGTACAGGAGGAGGGTGCAGAGCTACAAAGCCAGCATGTGCCATGCTGGGCTGAAGGTATAAGGCGCAGAAGCTGAGGGCTCCAAGCCCAGCCACTCCCCTCCACTCCCGCCACACCCTACCCATGCTTCCATCACTGACAGGTTTTCAACCCCAACTCCGTTTTACACAGTGAATCCGCTGGGGTTGGTATAAAACCCAACAGCCCTGACTGCTGGATGTCTGCAGCAACATTCCCATCTCCACATTCATGGTAATTAAGGAAAGACTGAACAAAGTGCCAGATGGTCCTCCGTGGGGACAGACAACCCACGGCTAACTCTGCCTGGGGGTGGGCGGGCGGCAGGCAGGCATCTTTGCACCAATGGCTGCAAATATCCACCCTGGGGCCAACAGTCATGGACCAGCACACACCACGGGCCACCAAGTGGGCACGCTGGTGCCCTCTGCTGCACACAAGCAGCAGGACAGAAGAGTGCCAGCATCCCCCAACAGCCAGGTTTCCCTCATGGGCTAAGCAGTTTCTCTGCCAGTCAATGAATGGGTGTCACCCTCTCTGGAATGGACAAGCTTCCTCTACCCGAGGGCAGCCAACCCACCACAGCCGGGCACTTCCACTCCTTGGGTAAAGTTGCTGCAACCCTTCTGGAAGCCAGTGACTTTCACATTCTTTGCCTGAGGAATAATTAGGAAGGAGATGGGAGAATACGGATGTTCAGCAGAGCTGTTAAGATTAAAAAGAGCTATAGATCGTGCCCCCCCCCCCCCCGCGGCGCAACTCCCATGAGTCTGACTTGGGTGAAGTCATTCTGTGATGGAATGTCCTGTCACACGGCTATTAAACATGATGTGGCTAAACAAGGTTTTAATGACATGGAAAAAATCATGGTAAATTGTTAATAAATCAGGTCCAACACACTATGGGGAAATTGTAATACCACTGGTCTTGTGAGGTTCTGTCTGGGAGGCTGCGTGAGGATGTATGAAGAGCTGAACACTTAGGAAGTGCTGAGGTATTTGCTGTTATTAGTATAACATGATTCCACAATCTTAAATGCTAAAAAGGATTAGGAAAACCTTCAAAGGATGGAAACCAAAAAAGTGCCACCATGACTCACTCTGAATGTGTGATCTTGGTAATCCTGAGGGCCTGTTGGTCAGGCAGAATGTGGACAAGGGCCAGGACCACTCTGCTCTGCATCTCTGACCCTGTTGCTTCACAGGCCAGTGGCTCAGGCTGACCTGTCCTTGACAATACTGCCCCCTGCCGGCCAGGGGTGCTCTAACAGGAGACTTTTTGTGCCACAGCAGAGAGGCGAGATAGCATAGTCAAGGTCACACAGTGCTTATTCTGAACCAGGCAGGAGGCTGAGCCTTCTTGGGGGCAATCACATTCAAAAGCTACCCCCTAAGTTAGAGAACACAGCTTTTCTGTGAGGATCTACCTTCCACATCTCTTCAACAATGACATCCCTGGAGTTTAGTAGGGACTGACCACCTGGAACAGACTTCTGCAGAGTGTGCTGTGCCCATGTGACTAAACTGTAACCCCTCTGCCATGAGCAGAAGTGACACGTGGGATCCACTCCCTCTTCTGAATGGTTTTCCTGTCCCATGATATTCAGAGTCACCACAGATGGAAATCTAGAGCCACAAACCCTCAGAAATCTTTCTTTCTGTTAAGTTGCACTCAAAAGACTCTGTTTAGCAGTGGAGAGTCTAACACAGGCTGGAATGGCCAGAGCTCTGGCAGCGCTCTTAGACTGTGAGGTAGCCTTGGTAACAGATGATCGGTCATGCATGGAGAACTGAGAGTAGAGGAGTCTAGGTTCCCAACTTCACAGAGTAAGTTGTCTTATTTGTACCATCATCCCATCAGGGGCTATTTGAACTCTTAGCTTAGCCTAATTCGAAAGTGTACAGGTCAGGAAACTGAGACCTCTCCTAGACCAGAAACATCCTTTGCTCACTCTCCCACTTCATCAGAATGGCCTAATACTGGCCACCAATCTGTCTCTCTAGTCCCTACAACATGGCCAGGACTTAAGATTTGGCCACCAAGATCTGGGGGTGTGTCTCCACTGGAAGAACGTTGCCCTAGCATACACAAGGCCCAGGTACTGTGTAACCCAGCATGATGGACTGCTTCCCATTAACTCCAGCAACTCACGCTTGGCTACACAGACAGCGTGGGGCTAGCTTCAGCTGTATGAGACCCCAAGTGCTCATCATAAGGCCTCCTTCACAGTTCAGGGCTGGCATCTGCTCTGACCCCTAAGAGCCAGTGTTCCATTCACCGGTGCCCATTCTGATCACCCATCTACCTGTGGAGGCCACACAGAGGCAAACGCTCTCACCCCTCCTCCTCAGCATCAACCAACCAGGGACTGGCAGTCACTGTGCCAATGTAACAGAGTGGGCAGCAGTAGCCAGCACGGGAGCCCGTGTCCCGGTTCTCCGCTCCCCACTACGGGAGCACAGACCAGGCACTGCCTCTCTTGCCTTAAATGCTTTTAGGCACCCCACTCACCATGGTTGTCAGTAACACATCTTCCTTCTCTCTTCTAGGGCTCCCAGGACCTGCAAAACAAATAGAAGCTTCCTGAAATGCCCCTCCCTGTGACCATAGCTTGCAGAATGGCGCTGGGGGCCCCACGTCCTGGAAATCCAGCTCTCCCGGGGACTTAAATATTTAATAACAATTGGTGTTCAATATACTAATAGATGGAAGGCATTTAAAGTCATCTCCAGAGAGTATGTTTTCAGCCTCTCCAGAAGCCGCTGCCATGCTGGGTCAAACAGTGGCGTGCTCACTCAATGTCTGTCTCTAACAGTGGTGCCAAAGGGGTCGGTCGATCCAGGATGGAATCTGACTGCCGGAGGGATCTTATCCAACCCATTTTCCTTCCAGTGTGGACATCTCCCTCAGCAACCTGCAGAGGTTGTTCAGTCTGTTGAATGCCCCTAGTGGTGTGTAGCTCCCTACCTCACTGGAGGGGCTCACTGGATTTCAAGACACAAGCCAATCACATTGGACTGTGCAGACACCAACCATCAAAGGCAAGAGAGGCAGTGCCTGGCCTGTGCTCCCTTAGCAGGGACTCTAGAACTGGGACACGGGCTCCTGTGCTGCTTACTGCCGCCCACTTTAGTACAGTTGGCATGGTGTCTGCCTACTTCTAGTGTCTCCCAGACCAGCCACTGCTCCTGTGTCTCATCCCCACACCATCTCATGGCCAGTAGCTCGGGGGTGGGACCTGAGCCTTGGTGCTCTGCTGGGAACTAACCCACATGCAACCCTTCTCACCGCTGTCTTTGGTTGCATGGACTACTTCAGGTGGTCCAAGGCGGCTGCTCCTGTCCTGGGGGGGTGCCCGCATGGTGGAGTCCAGTGCCAGCTCAGGATCCTCAGAGAAAGGCAAAGGCTGATTGGCAGCCAGCCCACGTGGCAGCGTCTGCATAAGTTTCAGCTTTCGGAACCTGTTGGACATCCGGCTCCACCACGACTGTGTGAGAGGGAAGAGACGGAAGTCAGCTGCAGGCATGAAAGAATAGGCCTCCCCTTCCTAGGTGCCAGGCAGGTGCTACCAATCAACCCTTAACGATCACATTGCTGGCCAACTCCTTCCCCAGCCCTCTCAAAGAGGAAGAAGGCATACCTTCAGTCCTCCCTTGTCGTCAGGCAGCATGGGGATGCTCCAGGGTTGTCTGGCCTTCGAGTGGGGCAGGGGTGGCCGGTGGCTGGGCCGGCCTCGGTCCTTATTCACCTGCATGCACACAGATGCCAGCAGTCGAACAAGTTCAGTGTCTATGGGCACAAAAGACAGCATTTGAGCTGTGAATACATCTTCCAGGGAAGGGCCCAAATCAACCCTTTTCGGACTTAGAACTCAGTCCTGCAACACCAGGGCAGGCATAACTCACGAGTCCCCAGCTCAACCTCCTCATCTCTCCGCTTGCTGTCCTCAGAGACACCCTCCCTTCCGTCGCAGAAGTCAGGAGATTGAGCACTGAAAAGCACAGGATCGCAGCCAGACTACAGCAGTCCCTATTCTATCTCTATCCTACCCTGGGTAATGGCAGGTAAATTACACAGTCCCTCTGTGTGGCTCATAAGGAGGTGGCATTAACCAGCAGCACATAAACACAACTCGGGGATTTCAAGGGAATTCCTTGGAAGCTCAAGATGCTGGAACTCAGTATGCACTAAGGAGGATTTTAAATCACATTAGTACTTCCTGCAAGCGTCTATGAAAATGGCTCACTATTCTCCTGACCCAGAAAACCCTACAAAACCCATGCAAATCAAGAGGTTCAAATCTTCATGTTCACTTTAAGGACACCTGTGGAAACTGCCCAGACCAACAGAGGTATGCATATCTAAAACATCATCAAGTATCCCAAGGTTGTCATTAAAGAATCAGTGTGTGCTATTCCAGCAGTATATTGGGAGAGTTGGCAGGAATGCCAAGCATGGGCACTGCATCAGTGGCCCCCAAAACAGTGTTCAATTTTTCTACACACACTTACAAATGCAGAGGGTGATGCTGAACTTAAGATTTAGATGCTGATTCTCCAGCCACTGAACATTTCCAGCTAAGCCAAGCACCTAAGATGCACAGTTGAACTTCAGATGCACCATCAGGGGGAATGAACCCACAAAGACAGCTGACCTGAGTTCCTGGGAGCACATGGACTCGAGATCAACAGTCAGGGAGCCTGCAGGGGACCCATGTAGGCCCTCTGAAGGTGACTGACAATTGTGTAGCTTGATCTGTTTTTAAGGCTCCTAGCAGTGAGATCAGGACCTATCCTTGGCACTTAACTGGCTTTGGGGAACCTGTTTTCCATGCTGGATTACCTTGTCAGCCTTTATTCAGGGGGAGGAATGAAGGAGGAGGAAATGGATGGGAATGGGAACAGATAAGGAGGGGGCACTATGGTCCTATGGTCGGTAGTAAAATGAATGAAAAAAATGTTAATTAAACAACAACAAAAAAGATGCACCATAAAACTTAAGCTTTCGTGCCCATTTTAACCCAGAGGTGAACTCCCCTGCCTCCCTGAGACAACCTCACTGAAAAGGAACACAATGTCCCTTAAGAGGAGGCTGCACAGAAGCAAACCATATCTCGGGGAAACTACAGAACAAAATCTTTGGCACCAGATGAAAATCAGCATAAAATAAATGCAAATAAAAAAAATTTAAATGTAGCCAGGCATTAGTGGCACACACCTTTAATCCTAGCACTTGGGAGGCAGAGGCAGGTGGATCTCTGTGAGTTCAAGGCCAGGCTGGTCTACAGCGTGAGTTCCAGGACAAGCTCCAAAGCAATACAGAGAAGCCCTGTCTCAAAAAAAAAAAAAAAACCAAACAAAAAATTTAAGTGCAATCTTGTTGGACAAGAATGTAAAGAAAGCACTCAGGGCTCCTTGGTGGGGAATGTACAGCGAGGGAAGCATCCCCCAGGTCCCCCAGGAGGAGGTCCTGTGCTGGGGATCACCTGGACTCACCTGCCACTCTTCTACCTGTCCATCCTTTCTAATGCCCTTTAGGATGCAGCAGTAAATAAGAAAGACAAAGTACCAACCAGTCCTCTAAGCATTCGGTAACAGACAAGTGTTTGGATGAAATTTTGAACAAAATTTTCACTTAAAAACCTAGAGGCTAAAAAAATAGCTCAGCAGTTCAGAGTGTTTATTCCTCTTGCAGAGAGGACCAGGTTTTGTTTCCAGTGCCCTCATGACAGTTCATGTGGCTGTAGCTCTAGTTCCAGAGGATCCAATGCACTCTCTGACCTTCATGGGCACTGCATATATGTGCCTCATAGACATATGTGTAAGCAAAACAATCATACATACAAAAATGTTTCTAATCATGAAAAAGTCCCCGAACACTAAGAATGGGTATGGAGCATGCCAACATGCCCAGTCAGGAGGCTGAGTTTAAGGCCAATCTGGGCTACACAATGAGACCATATCTTAGAAGGGGAAGAAACAAGGCTGAGGTGTAGAGATGGTCCAGAGGGCAACGGCATCTGCTACCAGGCCTGGCGCGCTGTGTACAATCCCAAAAAACACACAGGGTGGAAAGAGAAAATTAGATTCTGCCAGTCCTCTGACCACATACACTGCGGCATGCATGAAGTAAGTGTAGTTTTTTTTTTTTTTTTTTTTTTTTTTTTTTTTTTTTAAAGCCTACAGCTTGGGGTTGGGATCCCAACTTGGGCTCAAAGCCAATGGCTGGCTCTGAATTCCTCTGTTTCTAGAATGAACCTCCGGGATAATGGAGATAATAATGTGCCAGAGACTCAACTCCTATTTGGAATCCCCAGCCCTTAGAGAGGACCAGCAGGGGAATGGAGGGGAGCAGCAGGGCCATTGGCAAATATGGTGGACACACCAGAGCAGGAGCTTGGCCTGCAGCCCCCTCACATGGAGCAGAATGGGGTTGGCTTGTCTAGTCAAAGGCCCTTTATGTTTCCTGCAAAGTCATTTAGCATTTCTGGCTATGACCACAGAATGGGTCTAGATCCTTAATAGCCTGCAAAGCCACATGCCCTTGTATGCCCCTCTCCCCGCAGCAACTACATGGTAGCTGTTGCTGGAAGGAGGCTAATAGAGAATGTCCCAAGAGCATGGGGTATGCCCTTGACACCTGAGACTGGTTTTTCTACAGATCAGCATAGACTTCATACGGTTATGGGAGGAACTTCATATGGTTATGGGTGAGGAAGGTCACGGAGGCTGAGTACTGTCTGTAGGCTTACTCACCAGGATCGTTCAGGAGCATCACTAGGTCAAAGGCTGTGTACCCATTTTTGGCCCGAAGAGCAACATCAGCCCCTTGATTTAGCAGATACTTGACAATTTCTTTATTTCTGGGGAGCAAAGAGGCAGGCAGTTAGATTCCCTATTCTCATGTGAATATTGATAACCCTACAGCCCATATGCAAAGGACTGGTCACAGGAAGATGCTGTGAATGGATCATTAGAGGCAGGGCCATATAGAGCCTTATAGGGATCATTGTGTATATGTCCCAAAAGGGGGTTATGAACCTCTGGCTTTGTCCCCTGGATTGAGCATTTGTTTGGACACTTGCTCCCTACCTGTAGTGGTTTGAATATAATTGGCCTCCATAAGCTCATATGGAGTGGCACTACTAGGAGGTATGGTTTTGTTGGGATGAGTGTGGCCTTGCTGGAGGAAGTGTGTCACTGTGGGGATGGGCATTAAGGTCTCATATATGCTCAAGCCATGTCAAGTGTCTCAGACTACTTCCTGTTGTCTGTGGATCAAAATGCAGAATTCTCAGCTCCTTCTCCGGCACCATGTCTGCCTGTACCACCACAATGTTCCACCATGATGGTAATGGACTGAACCTCTGAACTGTAAGCCACCCCATTAAATGTTTCCCTTTATAAGAGTTGCCATGGTCAGGCCAGATGGTGATGACTCACGCCTTTAATACTAGCACTTGGGAGGCAGAGGCAGGCTCTGTGAGTTCAAAGCCAACTTGTTTTACAGAGTGAGTTCCAGGACAGTCAGGGCTACACAGAGAAACCCTGTCTCAAAAAACAAAAACAAAAAAACAATAAATAAATAAGTTGAGTTGGTGTCTCTTCACAGCAATAGAAAGCCTAACTAAGACACTGTCCATGCCATGGATACTTTCACCAGAGGTTGGAAGCCTTGGGTCTGCTCCAACTTGAATAGAAACCTCTAGAATCATGAGGCAAAGTGAATCTTCTTCATAAATTAACTGCCTTGGGCATTTTGTTAAGAGCGACACAAAATTGGCTAATCCATCAAGCGACAGGAAAAGTGTGACTATGTTCCCAGACAACAAGCCTGGCAACATTAACCAGGCACACAGCCTTTTGATGTTTAAGCAGGGCATGGGCAATCTATTATTGTCCTCGAGGCCCATCAGGTCCTATCACCTAGCAGCTCAGAAGCAAATGTGCTTTGTATCAGTCCTCATGCTCCTTCTTTAATGGCAATAAAAACCAGGGTCTCTGCCCCAAAGTGCTCAGCCACCACACCTACCCTCTGTAGCCAAGACCTGCAGAGACCTTCCAGAAGCTTCTGCAGAGTCAGAGATTTTAGGCTTATCGGATAACATAGCCAGTGCAGGAGTGTAAATGTGATGTGGCCAGTTGAACCAGGCAAGAGGAAAGGCCCTAAGGGGAACAGGACATTTAGCAGCTATATGATGTTCCCAAAGAGGCCTGCAGGAGGGTGACAGCCCACCTGGCCAGGATAATTACATTATTTTAATGGAGATCAAGATGACTATAAGTGTCTAAGGTCATGGAAAGCCCAGGCATGTGTGACCGCTGTTCACATCACAGAGGGGATGCTTAATGGAGGTGTCTGAACCACCATGTGAAAACTCCAAATGAGCCAACACACTGTTCACCTGAAAACAAACAAGAGAAATGTATCTTTCTGTCTAAGATGTGCCTGCTGCACGGGTTTCCACAGCCAGCAGGAAATTCCACTGCAGGCTAGCTAGCGAGTGCCCTGGACAGAGGCAGGAGGCTGACTGAAACGAGCCCCTACTCCTTCCATCTTTTCTGCAGGCCTCAGTGTCCTCACAGGTTGTAACTCAGGTCAGAAAACCCCATTTCCCCCAGCCAGAGCACCTGGAGGAACTTGTGGAGGGACTTGTAGAGGAAGTGGGAGACACAGACCCATGGTAGGTGGCCTGCATAAGGGCTGTCCAGCCATGCACGCTGTCTTGCTTGTCCATGTCTGCATGCTTCTCCACCAGCAGCTGTACCAGGGGCAACTGTCCTGTGACAGCTGCCAGCATCAGTGGGGTCGCCCCGTCCCCGTTGACCAGATTCACGTGGTTGGGGTCTTCATCAGCAATCTCCTTGACCAGCTGGAAGTTTCCTACAAACAGCAGGAGCCCAGGTGACCCATGGCATCACACGCTCATGTATACAGTTGTCTCCTATGATGAACATCTGCTTACTCTACCTCTGCTGTAGTCATTGGGGGAGCACTAAGGCAGGTCACAGAGAGCCCCACTCAGATCCCTCTGTCTACTGCAGATGGAAACCAGCACATGAGCAAACAAAAGTACTTCCTCTGTCTCAGGGAATAGGGAGAGTGAGGAGGGGTCACAGACCTGCAGAGGAAAAATACAGTTCTAGGTGGTGAGGGCAGATCCAGGAGGGCTGCCTGAAGGTGGTGTCTGGGGTTTAGGATATGGACCAGTGCGTAAAAGTGCTTGCCATGCAAGCATAAGGAATTGAGTTCAAATCTCTGGCTCACACAAAAGGCAGACAGTAGAGGTATCTGTAATCTCATTGTTCCTGTAGGAAGGCAGGAAACAGGAGAGCCCCAGCAGGTTGCAGGCTGACTGGTCTGGCATATAACACAGAATAGTAAGAAAAACCCTCTCATGATGGAAAGAAGGAGGATGGGATTTGAGCAACCCCAGGAGCTGACCTCTGGTCTCTACCTGATGCCATGGCATGCATGTGATATATTCTCTCACACACATGGAAACTCTGGGATAAAGGGCCCTTCTGTCATAACAAAACTGAGGCCATAGAGAGAGAAGCCAGTACAGCTCAGCATCTAGCTGTGGGACAGTAGGAACATGGGAGTGTATTCCAGAATCTGTGTGTAGAATGCTTTAATAAATACAGGCCCCAGGACCCACACTTCCCTGGGGAGAGTGAATTATAATTTCACAAGATTAAAAACTATTGAGGGGGGAAAAAGAAACAAAGCAAAGGCCTCAAACTGCATTTCTTTAAGCAGATTCCTTGTACCCATGGATAGGTGCAGGGGTCGGGCCTGAGGGCATGGCCTCAGACTCTTCAACATCTGAAGCTGCTTTCTGAGGCACTTACCCATCTTCAGTGCATGGAAAATATCAGGTCGACTCTTCTCCTCATCTGGGCAAACAGAGATTTCAGAGTTAGCTGAGGAAAAGTGTAATAAGTTCGTAAAGCTGCCGCAGTGACAGGACAAACTGGCTTTCTAAAGGGCATGCCTTAGGAGCCATGGGGCTTCTCGGGGCGGCCACCTGGGTGTGGTGAAGCTGCTGCTAGAGGCAGGTGCCATTGTGGATCATCACAACCCCTCTGGCGAGTCACCAGCAATGGGAGGTAGCAGGGATGAACTGCTGGGCATCACGGCCCTGATGGCTGCCGTTCAGCATGGGCATGAGGCTGTGGTACGCCTGCTGGTGGAATGGGGTGCCGACCCCAACCACACAGCCCGGACCGTGGGCTGGAGTCCGCTGATGCTGGCGGCCCTCCTTGGGAAGCTCAGTGTGGCGCAGCAGCTGGTTGAAAAGGGAGCCAACCCCGACCACCTCAGCGTGCTGGAGAAGACGGCCTTCGAAGTTGCCCTTGACCGCAAGCACAGGGACCTGGCTGACTACCTGGACCCACTGACCACTGTCAGGCCAAAAACAGGTAAGGCCAGAACACCCCCATCCCTGCTGCAGCCTCATAGAGGAGTGTTCAGGTGGCACCTAGCCGATTCTGGGCATTGACATCAGCACCATGATCCAAAAGGAGGTGTGCCACGCTGGCATGCCCACACCTGCCAGAAAGATGGGAGGGAATTAGTGACACTTAACAGAAAACACTGGCAAGTGGACAGCCCCAGTAACCTCACCACTGTCAACTACTGCAGGCACAGGGGCTGCTTAGAAAGAACCACCTGGGTCTGGTGTCAGGTACCAGGCTGGCCCTGTGCAACCATCCTCATCGACGATAGAAGCCCTGGCTAGGCTGGAATCTGGGTCTCTTTTCCAGGTGACACTGAGGAAGAATGTATTTCTCTGTGTCTTCGTTTCCTGATCTGTAAAATGGGGCTATAGTCATACCTCCATGAAGGACTGCTTGTGGTTTTCTGTGCATATATGGAGAGAGAGAGAGAGAGAGAGAGAGAGACAGAGAGAGAGAGGGAGGGAGAGATTGCGAGAGAACGCTCCTGGATGTGCTTAGCCAGAGGAAGAGGCACTCAGCATTAGCTATGATAGTGGCTGTGTCTTTCCCATTTCACAACCTACTGGTGTCACCTGCCTTGCTAAGGACCATTCTGGGATAAAATATCCAGCCCTGGCCAGCATGGTGACACACACCTTTAATTCCAGCAGAGGCAGGAGGATCTCTGAGTTTGAAGCTAACCTGCTTACATAGTAAGACCCCCAATGCCCAAAATTGAAAGAAAGAAATCCAGTCCTGTGGCTAGGGCACATACACGCAGGCAAAACACCATATACATAAGATCAAGGTGGGCTTTATATGAATACACCGGAGATTGATCTATACATCTGAGTTCTCTGTGCACTGCTTTATGGCCTGCTAAACTGTCTCTGCCAGGCTCTAATGCACTCACCTCATGGGCAAAGCCCTTGTTGTGATTCATTGCTGCCCTTCCCAGCCTCCACCAAGCCCAGCACTTGCCTGCCAGTTGTGACAGCCTTGCTGGGCTCCGTGGAGGCTTACTGGGCAAAGGGACTCTGGCACCTCCGTGGAAGCTTACTGCCACCTGCTGGCAGGAATGTGCACTGTGGGTGGCTGTGAACCTGGTTAAGCCAGATCAAAGAGGCTGCAGCTCCAGCTGCATTCAGGACCCAGAGAAGACAGATAGGCACCCACCAACTCCCTGACTCCAGGGGGAGGACAGACGCCGCTTCTCAGTGGGCAGGCATATGTTCTAAGGTGTGCCTGGCTAGCAGGAAAGAATGACAAACTCAGGGGAAGTGGGTATTAGAAGGCCAGACTGTGCCATCGGACTCAGAGGCAGGTTCTGAATGGGTTGCTCAGCCCTCCTCTCTGGAAGTGGATGCTGTGTTTCAGGCCAGGGCTGAACTCTGGTCTGAGGCCCCAGCTAAATACAAAATACCTTCTGGGCTGTGAACCTTGACACAACAGGCTGCCTCCTGCAGCATGCAAATGAGGACTTGGTATGGGGGCAGAGGGGTAAGTCTGAGGAATTACACCCACATGTGGAAATTGCAAACTTTGTAAACTCTGTCCTCCTCTGTCCTGCCCCCCTGTCTCTCACCTAAGGGTCCCTCCCAAATGCCCAGAGCCAGGAGGCCTGCCTGCCTTGCTAATACTTCCCAGTCCTTTGCCCCCCCCCCCCCTGCACTCTCAGCACAAGTCTGACTCGGGCCCTGCCAAGCAAAGTGCTCAGCCTCCGTCCTGCTCGGCACCCCTGGTCTGCCCCACCCTCCCCCACCTCACCTGCTCTGAGCAGTTTCCTGGGCTCCCTCTCAAGGACCCACCCAAGGTTGCTACCCAAGCTTCCTTCCCTCTGCCTACACCTGAGCCCTCCTTCAAAATCCATGTCTCCCCAACCTGACTGTGGCTAAGGACAGGGCTAGGCAACTTCCCTGGCCCTAACACAGAGTTCAAAACATTCTGTCCAACGCACAAATAAATGAAAGCATTGAAAGGATAACAAGGAAGGGAGGTGTGTGGGACAGAAAGCGGCCAGGGGCTGCTGCACTGGCCTCCACTGCAGGAGAGTTCCAAGCTCCCACAGGTTTGGGGAACACAAAATAAACTCTAGTGTAAACCCTCACCGAAGATTACAAGATACTTTTAGATTCTTATCTGAAAACTGAGAGACAAACACAGCCTCCCATTTCACAGATAAGGAGGATTAAGATTAGAGCAGAGAGCAATTAATCTCAATTTGAAAGTGACAGGACCCAAACCAGCCCCAAGAATTTCAAATCACAGCTCCTCCAGTATGCCCAGTTCCTACAGAGGAAGCAAAGGGCTGGATTTGAGCAGAAACACTGAATTTGAGGATGTTTTCTGAACTCTCAGGTCGCCCTAGAGAGCATTCAATTAGGCTGAAAATACAAAATGATCCAACGGAGCCTGAGATAATTTTGCGGATGTTCAGTTTCTAATAGGTAATTACTGGATATGAGGCTGCTGGGGGCTTCTGAGCAGGTGCTGAGATTGCCAATTAATTTCAGCAATTAACACCTGTGCTTTAAGCGCTGGCACATGATCTTGCCACTCAGAGCACCTGGCAGCCACCCACGTGCACTGGGTAAAGACAGAAGCGGATGGAAGGTAAACAGGCCAGTGTGTGACTAGAAAACCACACTCTGCTGTCCTTGGCTCAGGATCACCACCGGCACTCACAGGGGGTTGTCACCTGCTGGATTCACAGCTCTTGGGCCATCAGTCTAAGTGTAAATCTTACTCTATCACTCAACTAGCTATGTGGCCAGGGGCAAGTTACTTAACTTCTCTGCAGTTCAATTCCCTATCTGTAAAATGGGGACAATACTCCATACTTCCTAAGGTTTGGGGTGGACTGAAGGAGCGAATCCATTTAAAGCAGCAATCACAGTGCCAGACACAAAATAGGTGTTCAAGAAGGGTTAGCTGGACCTGATGATGCAGGCCTAACTGATTCAAGGAGGTCAGGCTTGCCTGGACTGCAAGGAAAGTTCAAGGACAGCCTGGGCCAGTCAGTGAGACTTTGCTTTAAAAGTGGGCTAAGGTTGTAATCAGTGGTATCATGCTTGTCTGCCAGGTGCAAAAAAGCTCCTAAACTCAAGCCCCACTACTGTGAAGGGGAAAGGGACAATCTACTATTTTGCAAATAGGAACTATTGCTTGTACTCAACTCTAAGAAATCAGTGTCTCCAAGTCCTGGCTCAAGGCCTCTATGGCTTGCCTCAGAGATGGATGTTGGGACACACAAGATGACAAACCCAAATCCACTTAGGCAGACATAGTGATTGACTGTCTGGAACACTGTCCTAGGATTCTGAGAGGAGCACAAGAATGGGCTGTCCAAGCACAGCCCCGCCCCCCCACCTGAGACACCAACTCACAGACCCTCCAGAAGTCTCCCTACATTAGTCCCTGACCCTGAGCCTCCCCTCAAACGAGGCAGCAGACAGCTCAGTGTATCTGGACTCCAATGCAATAGAGTCACCAGTGAGGGACAGCACCAGGCCCTGGTGAACAGGAGATTGTGAATTCTAATCCTCTTCTTCCAGGGGTGCCCTCTACCTCGGTCTTGCAAAACAGTAAGGCGTGTATGTATCATAGTAACACTCTCAGTAAAGCATCTGTTGGGGCCAGAGACATGGCTCAGTGGTTATAAGTGCTGGCTGCTCTTGCAGGGAACCCAGGTTCAATTCCCAGCATCCACATGCCTGCTGACAACTGCCAGTAAATCTAGTTCTAAGAACTCTCATGCCCTCCTCTGGCTTTTGAGAGTACCAGGCCTGCACATGCCACACAGACAGACACACATAAAATAGTAATTAAAAAACAGCACCTGTAGCAAACTGAGGCTCGAAAAGGCAGCCCAAAGCCTCTCAGTTAGGAAATGTCAAAGTTGGAGTACTTCCACAAACCCCAGTCCTTTCCACAATACCAACTGAAGGGCTGGCTCTAACAGGCCAGGCACGACAATCATGGCGCCAACAAGTCTTACACTCCTCCCTTCCCTCTGACTTATTATACCGTTTGATCACATCCCTAAAGCTAGCCACCAAGGGCCATTCCTTTATTTGGCCATTTTCTTATGCCTGACCAAAAGAGCAAGGTCCAGCGATCCAAATCCATTATTTGGCTTCACCAACTAACAGGTCCAATCAGAACTTACCAACTCACCCTGGCATAGACGTCCTCCCTTTCTCCTTAAAAACCACTCCTGCAGAGACACCTTTGACTGATCCAGAAACAGCACCTCCCACCCCTCCAACCCCTAACCTCCACTTGTCCCCTCTAGGGTAATCAAATCTCTTTTTTGCCCACATTAAGGGTCTGAAATTAATCAGATGATGTAGACCGTCCTGCAGAAGTTGGTTAGCAGCAAAAAACAGGTGACCAGCGGTTGGTGACATTGGCATAAACCAGTGCAGCAATCCATTGCAAGCAAAGTGCTCAGCAAGTTCCCCGGGACATGCAAGGCCTCTGCTGGGTGGGGCTCAGAAATAAGGTGCATGCCCAGGGCTCTCAAATGTACAAAGTGACTCCCAGCCTCTTTCTCATGCCCCTTCCTGCCCTCCACCCATCTCCCCAGATTTCAGGCCTCCCAGTAAGTCACAACCTTTAGAGAGGTAACCCTAGGGTCCCCATCAGGAAAGACATCCCGGCGAACCTTTGGTATAGCCAGGGTTAGGTACACACAGGGAGGGAGCTGGTTGCAAGTGGACAGGCTTTCCTGGTGTGGTGGGGTGAAATGATGTGGCCACAGCATGGAAGAGTTCCTGGAAGAAGCTAAGCTTGAGAGTGGAGGGGATTTGCTGAGGACAGAAGAGGAAAACCCCACACTGAGGGTTCTGCAGAGGGACTCCCTGCCCACACACATCCTGACTAGCTGGATGCTGGAGGCCCATTTTTGCCTTCAAAATCTCAGACTCTCTCTCACCCATGAGGTGGAGAAGATGCTCTTGATACAGAGTAAATAAATGCTCATTGTTAGCTTTTTAAAAAGTACAAAGTGATGCAGAGAAGGACTGGATGAAATCTTGGCCTGAGCTTAAGAGACCAGAAGGAAAGGATAGAACAGTCTGGCTGGCCCAGAGTGTCATCCTAAGACTAGGGGAGCCACTGTGGACAGGCACAACCAAGCAGCCATTCCAGACAGACCTGGAAGCTCTTCAAGGAGGCACAGGGCATGCTTGGAGGAAGGGAATATGGTGGGAGACCTCTACAGAGGAGTCTATGAACAAGGGTAAGGGTATTGAGAGAAGGGTGTGGATCCCAGGGCTATCTCAAACCAACAGGGGTGGGTGAACACTAGACAGATGAAGGCTCACCTGGAGAAAGAAGGGGAAAGGAAGCTAGAAGATTTTTAAGATCACCTCCGTGGCCCTGGTATTCCCCTCTGGCGTCACCTGCTAAGTGCCCAAAAGTCAAGCTCACTCTCAAGACTGTCCCTCTGGGGCTAGAGAGAGATGGCTCAGTAGTTAAGAGTACCTGCTGTTCTCAAAAAAGACCACAGGGTTGGTTCCCTCTGCCTGCATGGTACATTGTCGCTGTCTGTACCTCAAGTTCAAGGGGGATCCACTGCCCTCGTCTGGCTTCCTCAGGCACCAAGCACCCATATGGTGCACATACACACAGGCACACAAACACTCATATACATAAATCTTTTTGTTGTTTAAAGATCATCTCTTGTACTTTGCAGCTCAGTACATTTGTAACCCACAGCCAGAAATCTAGAGATGGATTTTGCTGTCTCCCCCCTCTCCTGACCCCTTCACAGGGCCAAAGTCACAAGCATCTGGTCAGTCACACTTCAATCTGGTCCAGGTCAGTATCTCTCTTATCTGGGCTGCAGCTTTTCAAGCAGCCTTCCTGACTCTAGCCTATCTCTCCGCCCATTCTCACATGTGGTGAATGAGCCTATCCAAAACAAAACTCTGATCCAGTCACTCTGCCATGTTCCACACTCTCAACATCCTTCTCTGCCCCAATATCTGGTGCCTGCTTGCTTCTCTCCAATGGTGGGCTTGTCTCCCATTACTTCCAGCCCCTTCTGGGTCCCAGCATCCTCCCAGGTGTCTGACCACTTACCATCATTACATGTTTGCACTGTGTTCTTCCCCAACACCCCACACTCCCCACCCCCGTCATGGTTAATTCTTACACATTCTCGGTACTACTAAAAACTTTTACTAAAACATGTCCCCGTTTTCCCAACGGGGTTAGCTACTACAGTCAGACCTTCTTGATCAAGACTGCTACTTTATCTACTACCCCACTCATCCCTGGTGGGGACTTAGCTGGATCCCATTTATCTATCCCCCAAAGCTAGGGTTCTTAGGAGACCCTTGATGGAAAAGCGGAATGAATGAACGCCTAGAAAGAGGCACTCAGCAGCCAAAGTTTCTAACATCCTAATCTTGTGTTTCTGAAACAGCATACAGACGACCAAAAAGCAACTCTCCAAATCTGCCTTTCGCACTTTCACGAGTCCCGGACTCTCTCCCTCCCGGTTCCCGCTCACCTGGCTGCCTGCATGAGCGCGCTCCAGCCATAGTGGTTACGGCTGTTGACCGAGGCTCCGCGGCGCAGCAGAAACCGCACGAGTGGCTCGTGGCCACCGGCCGCCGCCAGCTGCAGCGCCGAGTTGCCCGCCTCATCCGAGCAGTCCACCGGTACCGGCGCTTCGGCCTCCGCCGCCCGGGCCGCCTCGGGCCCTGCCTGCTCCCCTCCCGCCTCGGGTCCCACAGCCGGCTCTGCGCCGGGCTCCAGCAGGCGCCGCGCGGTGTCGGTGTCGCCCTGCTCGCAGGCGCGGAGCAGCAGCTGCAGGCCCGGGGCCAGGGCGCCCTCACCCATCGCCGGCGCCCGCTCAGCGCCGCCGCCCGCTCCCACCCGCGTCCGCGCGCGCCCGCCGCCGTCCGCAGGCCCGCCCCCTGGGGCGCGCGCCGCCAGGGCCGCGCCTGCTGGGTACGCGCGCGCAGGGCCCGCCCCCGGGCTTGGAATGTGCGCCTGTGACTGTTTGGTCACTTCTCAGGCTTCCTGCCCTGTGCCTGTCCGACCTCTGGGCCTAGAGGACCTCGGAATCATCCCTGAACCGCAACCCGCGGCTCCACCGATCCCAGATCACCGTGCACTTCACTAGAACTTCCTAAATGGTGGGCGACTGAATGGGGACTGGGGTTCTCTCCTGCCCTGCTCCCAACGCCTGTCCCTTGTCTTTGACATGAGGCTCACACAGCAGCAGTGACTTTCATGTTACAGATGGAGATTTTTCGAGCCACACCCCAGGCCCACTGAGTCAGAAATTCAGTGTGGGGCCAGCAACTGTTATTTAACAAGCCCTCTGGTATGAACACAAAAGTTAGGATTCACGGATTGATCTGTAGGGCAGTCCTGGCAGCCACCCTGGGGGTCCGGTAATAATTCCAATCCCCAGGAGAGCAGCTCTGGAGGCCATATATTGTATAGTCTGCACACATCTGAAGATGCTGCTGTGGGTAGGATTCGGGCCGTCTGACATCAAGTTCAGCTCCCTTTCCATGCTCAACAAGTATTTATTGGATGCTTGCTAGTGCCAGGCACAGCTCCACATGATGAAAACATTTGAAAGGCAAGATAGCATCTCTGCCTTCCAGGAGCTGACCCGCCCATTCCGGCTGTAAAGATAGGATGTGGAAATAACTTGAGTGCTGAATGGTAGTGAGTGCTGTTGGCACCGTGACCTGAACGTGAATCCAAACAAACCAGGGTAGAAGGTGCAGTATCGTTTTCCAATAGAGCCAGCAAGGGAAACACTGAAAATGTAACATATGCAAAACCCTGAAAGAAGAAAGTAAGTAAGCTGTGGTGACATTTGGGAAGACAGCCAGTCAAGCAGAGGGTCAGAAGAGGGTTCTAAGGTGCAGGCCTGCCCACAAGCAATTCACACTGACCTTGTCATTACATCATGGACACTTCCATATGAAGAGACAGCTGTTTTCCATAGATGGTTAGCAGTGATGCTAAAGCCCAGGAAGAAGCCAGGCATACAGTCAGACAGAACTGTGGCACACCAATTCCCACCAATGTATGATGGTAACACAAAACCGTTAGGGCTGGGTAAGCATGAGTCACTGGTGCAGGTCACAGAGTGGGGGCAGAGCATCAGAGCTGGAAGAAAAGGCGCTTTTTAGGTAAAGGATGAGGATCAGAAAATGACTTGAGGGTTTCCAGTGCCCTGCTACAGACTGTGGAGTTTGTTCTGTGAGCGGGGAACCTTGAGAAGTGTTTGAGAAAGTGAGTGGAGGGGTAGAGCTAACCACTCATGTACAAATGAACATCTTGACTCATTCACATTCAACCCAGTTACCACTGGGATGGGCGTGGGAGACAACCACCTTCGGAATTTCCAAGGAAGCCATTATTTCCCTGAAGATCTGAATAACTGCACTTCTGCCTTATTTTCTCTCTTGTCTTTCCTGTGTTTTCACTAACTATTGTTTCATTATGAAAGCAATGCAAAAGTAAAAGATAAGACTAAGCTCAGGGGTATGTGCCTATTATCCCAGAACTTGGATGACCGGGAAGGGAGATATGAGTACAAGGCCAGCCTGAGTTGCTTAGTGAGATCTTGTCTCCAAAAGCAAAAAACTGGGCCAAGAAACCACTCTGTTGGTAAAGTGCCTGCCTTGTAAGCACAAGGACCTGAGTTCCGATCCTCAGCACCCATGTTAGAGCTGGGAGTGGTGGCATGTGAGTGTGTGTGTGTGAGTGTGTGAGGGAGAGACAGAGAGAAGCTGTCTCAATAAATAAGGTAGAAAAAGAGATCAGGGTAGACAACTGAAGTTGACCTGTGGTTTCCATGGACACACATACAGATACCAATAAGTGCACATGCCAAACAAACACACAGAACTTTAAAATTAAAAGGTAATAGTAATAAGTAAACCATAATCAACTCCAACAGTACATAAAAGTGAAAAGCAGAAAGTAAAATGCCCTTTCCCGCTCTCCTTGATTTTCCAGGGCTATTCCTCACCAGTCACCAGTATGCACATTCATTTTATCATTCCAAAAAGATTTCATGTTGTATTGTTTTACATTACTGTGATCAACATACCTGAGAGAGATGACTCCACAGTGAGAAAGAGGTGTGGGGGATCATGGTTTCAGAGGGTCACAGTCCCTCACAGTGTGGAAGGTGTGGCTGAGCGGCACCATCCATCAAAGCAGGAGTGTGTGCTGGTGCTGTCCAATCACGGTGGACCGAGAAACAGTGTGGGTGGAGTCAGGGGTTAGCCAGTCACCTTCAAAAGCTTGCTCCCTTGGTCAAGTGCTAGCTGCTCCAACTGCAAGGACCTGAATTTGGATTCCCAGCACCCACAGAAAAAGCTGGGTGTGGCAGTGCACTCTTGGAATCCCAGGACTAGACCACAGAGAATGTGAGCAGAGAAGCTGGCTCGACAGACGGTTGATTGGTTGAGTGCCTGCTTCAGTGAGAAGGCCTGTCTCAGAAACGACGTGGAAGGGCTGCTGAGATGCTCAGGAACTAGCTATACCTGATGCCAAGTCTGATCGGTGATTCTGAGTTCAGTCTCTGGAGCCCACATAGTAGAAAGAGAGAACCAACTACTAGAAGTGTCCTCTGGCCTCCAAAGTTGTACTGTGGCCACACACACACACACACACACACACACACACACACATACCAAATAAATATGTCAGGCACGGTGGTCCTTGCCTTTAATCCCAGTGCTAGGGAGGCAAAGACAGGCAAATCTCTATGAGTTTAAGGCCACCATGGTCTGTAATTTGAGCTCAGACCAATCAAGGCAGCATGGTGAGACCCTATCTCAAAAACAACAACAAAATAATAATAGTAAATATATAGTTTAAAATAAACAGAGAGTCATGGAGGAAGACATTCAACATTGATCTCTGGCTGCCACACACCCACATATAGTATATGCCTATAATCCCAGCATATGGTACATACACCCACACACGCATACATGCATGCACACACGCATGCACAAACAAAAGAATGCCAGCCTATAGCTGGATGTGGTGGTGTTTACCTATAATTTCAGCACTGGAGTGGCAGAAGAAAGAGGTTCAGGAGTTCAAAGTCATCTTTAGCTACAGAAAGCTTGTGGGCAGCATAAAACAAACAAACAAATAAAAGAATGGAATCCCAGTGACCTACTTCCTCCAACTAGGGTTCATCTAAAGGTCCAAAGCATCCTTAAATATTGCATGCCCTGAGAAACAAATATTCAAAACACACAAGGCTGTGGGGGGCATTTCTGATTAAAACCATGAATATGTACATATGTGTAGATATTGGCCAAGAATCTTGATTTCAGGCAGCAGAAACCAACCCTGGGGTCATTGAAGCAGAAAAAGAATTCAGTACAAGATTTTTTTCCCTAGTTCACAGTTCCTAGAAGGGCCCAAGTTTTAGACAGTTCAAACAAGGATGTCCCAATCCAGTCATGCCATAGCCATTCCCCACAAGTCACCAGTATGCACTGGAATGAAGTTTGCTCAGGTCCCTTTCGGTGTCACTGGCTTCAGGTTAACAGCCTGACATGGCAGTGTCTGACTGACCCATCCTGGATCACATGCTATGCTTGACAAAGCACAGAGGTCGGAAAGGCAAGTCTTGGGTTTTCAGCACCTAGGGAGGGAGGAGCATATGGTTTACAAGGGAGGGGCCACCCAGGATGGCAAAATGTTTCAGAGGCTTTGATGTGTAGACTAACAAATGTTCACTGCACTCTGTGCCTTTTCTATGCTTTCTCAGGGAGTTTTCCTTGACCAACTCAATCCCCCGGAGTCAGTGGTCTGGCCATGCTAATTGGCTTGACCGGGGTGCTTACTTAATCAAAGGGGGTATCCCTCTCAGAAGGTTGTTTGTGTTGTCAAACTGGAGTCACTCTGCCCGTACCTGAAGCTAGACTGCTTGCAAGCAAGGCTACCACAAAGGGTAGCAGGGCCATCAGCAGCAAACCCTGCCCCTGCCTTTCTGGTGAGGTTTATTTTGAGCAAGGCTGTCATCATAGTCAATCCAGATCTAACAAGGGTAGCATTTACTGTTTAAATACATAGGTTTGTATTTATGGGTTCCCCCCCCCCCAACACACACACTTTGTTGTCTTTGGGCATTGGCTCCAGGGCTTTGTGCATGCTAGGTAAGCATTCTCTCACTGAGCTGCATCAACTCCATGTTTATTTTTGTTAATTGGTGGCTTTGCTCAATGCAGGCTGTTCTGAATTTTGCCTGGCTTTTGTTCAGTTTTTCCATTTGGAAATGTCTTAGACACCGTTTCATGTAGGTGAATCTAGATCAGAGACAACCTTTCCAATAGTGCATATGGCACCAACAATTAGGAAATGTAATATCATTCCATCTTTTTCTTTTTCTAGACAAGGTTTCTTTGTCCTAGTTGTCCTGAAACTTGCTCTGTCTCTGCCTCAGTCTCAGGGAGCTGCCTGCCTCTGCCATTTAATGGTGAACGACCATGCCTGGCCATTTAACCTTTTATTTAAAGAGGCACAGCTGGCTTATTTCTAGTATTCTGCTAATATACATTAAATATATATTAATACATTATATTAAATATATAATTATATATAGTTATATACAGATACATAATGTATATAAACATAATTATATAATAATATAAACATTATACAATATAATATATAATTATATGTAATAGTTTAATTGTATATTGAACTTTAACTATATTAAGTATACTTTAACTATATTAAGTATATAATTATATATTATAATACATACACACATGTACTATATATAGATACACATATGTGCACACACACGCGCACGCACACACGTGTGTGCACATGTGCGCGCACGAGCGTGTATGTGTGTGTGTGTGTGTGTGTGTGTGTGTGTATTAAAGTTGGAT